TTAGCTCATATGTTTTCAGTTCATTTTGCTTTCTGAGAAAGATATATAAAGCAATCAAATTTTCTCTAAGCATATTATGTTCAGATTTTGCAAATAAAATGTTCGTCACATTCTAAGTCTTTCATAACTTCTTTAATGTTTTCAAAGGAATATTTAGTAAAAATTCCCTCTACTCCATTCCTCTTAGATGTATGGGATTCAAAAAAGCAATCTTAGGGCTGGTGCACGGCATAGCAGGCTTGCTCTCCAGCTCTTGTGCCAGCACTGGTTCGAGTTTCCAGTTGCTCCTCTTGCTGTGCAGCTCCCTGCTAATGGCCTGGGAAAGCAGCAGGGGGCTCATGTTCTTGGGTCTCTGCACCCACGTGGGAGATATGGAAGAAGCTCCAGATTATTAGCTCTGGTCACTGTGGTCATTGTGGTAACGAGCCACTACATGAAAGTTTTCTCTCGCTCCTTTTCTCTTTAACTCTGCTTTTCAAATAAAAAGTAAATCTTTTAAAAAAACAAAAAACCCTCATTCTACTATTACCACTGTCTAATTTTATTGCTTGATCAGAGAACATGTCTGTATAGTGCTGATTTTCTGGGGCTTGTCCAGGCCAACTATGGGCTTAGATCATGGTCATCTGTTATGACTATTCCTTGTTTGCTTAAAAATAATATATACTTTGGGGTCAGGAATGTAGCATAGCAGATTTAAAGGGCACCTGTGATGTAACATCCCATACAGGTACGATTTCCAGTCCCAGTTGCTCCATTTTCAATCCAGCTCCCTGCTGATGCATCTGGGGAGGCAGTGAGAGATGGCGCTGGACTCTGGGCTATTCACAATGGGGACCCAGAAATTCTTGGCTCCTGTCTTAGCCTGGCTCACCAGGATTGGTTGTTGTGGCCGTTTGGGGAATGAATTAGTGAACAGAAGATATTTTCTCCCTCTCCCTCTGTGTCTCCTAGTTCTGATCTTCAAACAAATCAGTAAGCAAGGGGCCTAGCATGGTAGCCTAGTGGCTAAAATCCCTGCTTGCAGGCGTTGGGATCCCATATGGGCACCGGTTCATATCCCAGCTGCTCCACTTCTCATCTAGCTCCCTGCTTGTGGCTTGGGGGTGGGGGGCAATAGAGGACAGCCCAGGGCCTTGGGACCCTGCAGCTGCATAGGAGACCTGGAAGAAATTCCTGGCTCTTGGCTTTGGATTGGCTCAGCTCCGGCCATTGCAGCCACCTGGGGAATGAATCAGTGGACAGAGGATCTTTCTTTGTCTCTCCTTCACTCTGCAGATTTGACTTTTCAACAAAAATAAATGAATCTTTAAAAAAAAATCAGTAAGCAAACCTATTAATCAATCGAGTAATGTTTTATTATTATTAAAGATTTATTTATTTTTATTGCAAAGTCAGATATATACAGAGATGAGGAGAGACAGAGAGAAATATCTTCCATCCCATGATTCATTCCCCAAGTGGCCGCAACAGCCGGTGCTGCACCAATCCGAGGCCAGGAACCAGGAACTCTTCCAGGTCTCCCACGTGGGTGCAGGGTCCCAAGGTTTGAGCCATCCTCAACTGCTTTCCCAGACCACAATCAGGGAGCTGGATGGGAAGCGGGGCTGCTGGGATTAGAACCAGCACCCATATGGGATCCTGATGTGTTCAAGGCAAGGACTTTAGCTGCTAGGTCATGGTGCCAGGCCCAATCAATGTTTTAAATAAAGAACATATATTCCGATTTGCAGATAGAATGGTGTTTATTAGCACCAACAAATTTTTGTTCAAACTCTATTGGTTCATATTTCTAGCTTATGATTGACATGTTGAAGTAGTCTACATGACACCTTATATTTTATTATTTATTTGAGAGGTAGAAAGAGAAAGAGATGGGGGATCTGTTGATTCACTCTTCAGATGTCCAGAATGGTTGGGCTGGATCAGGCTTAAATTAGGACTTGAGAAGTCAATCTGCTTATCGAAACCCAGTTCCCTGGGGCATCAGCAGGGTCTGCTTTGGCAGTTAACACTAACTCGGTAGGAGCTTCGACGGAAGCTGTCCTTTCTTCCTCTCCAGAACTTGGGTTTACCTTTGTAGACCGAGATGCACAAGAAATACACCCTGCAGGTGTGAACATGAAGTGTAGCCACCAGCAATGAACTGGGGGGCTCTCTGGGTCAGAAATGTCCCTGGACCAGTTCCCCATGTCCAGGAGCTCGCTCAAGGGCTCAGCAACTCAGAAACCTGCACCCGGAGGGTGTTGGACAGTGTCCTAGGAATCCACCAGTCCTTTAAGACTGACAGAACTCAAGCACAAGGGTCAGGTCTATGTATCTATTCATTCATAATCAAATCTATATAGTCAATCACAAAACAGATACATTTTGAGTTCCCTGAAAAACTACAGGATGTGTGATCTGATCTTAGAGTGCATGCATCAGGGCTAGGCCTCCTCATTGTGATGTTGCTGATGCCTGTGCAGTGGACAGCAGGCCCAGACGCACAGAGGACAGGACGGCCAGCTCATCTAGGCCTGCAGCGGACAGAAAGTGCCTTGTCAGAGGGTGGAAGGCAGAACAGGTTGGACAACTCTCCTGGCAAGCTTTGCAGCATGTTGCTGGGTCTGTGGCTGCACTGAGGAACACTTGGTCAACTAACAGACCTCAGGCAGACTTTAACCCTGGAGTGGCAAAACCAACAACTTCTCATAACTATCAAAACCATTCAAGTACCACCCTCGGAGCACTCTTCCCCACACTGGGGTCTCCAAGGCATCATAAACGGCCATCCCTAATCCTTGTTGCTGACACAGTTTGACAGCAAGGAGCAGCCCTCTGCCCCTACTTCCCTTCAGACACAGGAGGAAAAAACAAACAAACCGCAACATTTGTCCCACCCACCTTCCTCCACAGATTACCTTCCCCACCCCAAGTGGAGGCCCAGATGTGCATGCACTCTCAACTATGTAAACAATATTAAAAAGGAAATTAAAAGTTGAAAATATACATTTATTGGGTCCTATGGTATGTGTTCTAGGCAAGGGAAAGGCAAGATCAAATTTTGCTTTGTGCTATAACGCAGTACAGATTTTAATAAAGAAGTCTGACGGAGCCTGAGTCATGGTATAGTAGGTTAAGTGTCTACCTGGGGTGCTGGCATTCAAAATGCTTGCTGGTTCAAGTCCTAGCCACTCCTGTTTTTTTTTTTTTTTAGATTTATTTATTTTTCTTGGAAAGATATACAGAGAGGAGAGACAAAGAGAAAGATCTTCTGTCCAATGATTTATTTCCCAAGTAGCCACAACAACCAGAACAGAACTGATCTAAAGCCAGGAGCCAGGAGCTTCTTCTGGGTCTCCCACGTGGATGCAGGGTCCCAAGGCTTCGGGCCGTCTTCAACTGCTTTCCCAGGCCACAAGCAGGGAGCTGGATGGGAAGCAGTGCCGCCAGGATACAAACTGGCGCCCATATGGGATCCCAGTGCATAGGAGGCAAGGACTTTAGTGCTAGGCTACTGCACTGGTCTTGCTGCTCCACTTCTGATCCGGCTCCTTGCTGAGTTGCCTGGGAAAGCAGCGGAAGATGGCCCAAACCCTTGAGCCCCTCTCACATGGGAGACCTGGACAAAGCTCCTGGCTCCAGCTGTTGTAACCAATTGGGGAGTGAACCAGCAGGCAGAAGATCTGTTTTTCCTTCTCTCTCTGTAAATCTGCCTTGGAAATAAAAATAAATAAATATTGGCCTAGCATAGTAACTTTTGGCTAAAGTCCTCACCTTGCATATGCCGACATCCCATGTAGGCGCTGATTTGCACCTTTCACCTTCCCATCCAGCTCCCTGCTTGTGGCCTGGGAGGGCAACAGAGGATGGTCCAAAGCCTCAAGGTCCTGTAGCTGCATAGGAGACCCAGAAGAAGCTCCTGGTTCCTGGCTTCGGACTGACTCAGCTCCGGCCATTGTGGCCACTTGGGAAGTGAAACAGCAGGTTTTTCTCTGTGCCTCTTTTTTCTGTCTGTAAATCTGATTTTCCAGTTAAATAAAGAAATAAAGAAATAAAAATCTTTAAAACAAAAATAAATCTTAAAAAAAATAGTAAAGGGGGTTGATAAAATCTATCCTCACAGGCAGGTGATAAGGTTAAAGGTCAACGGAGAGGGTGAGGGGTTAAGGATGAGGGGCTGAGGGATCAGATAGATGGTGCCCTCCTAAAGCAGGACTCAGCCTCTGAGGTCAGAGGGAGGGATCATGTGCAAAGTCCCTGCGCAAGTGAGCCTCTGCTGCGGCAGACTCAGGCACAGCACATTTAGCGGACAAACAGTCGTTTCCCACGGAAGGCCAAGCCACTGCCTCGAGGTCAGGTGACCTAGAGTCGCAGGGAAGAGTCTGACCTGGTGCCGAGCATTCCTGGCACCCGCTGTGTTGCTGAAGCATCCTTCCGTACTCCTACAGCCACTTCTTGCCATCTAGGTTGTCGCCGGGCTGAGGCTGGGCTGGCACTGTCAACTTCCATTTCTCTAATTCGGGCGACTTCCCGCTCCCCCTTTAGTGGAGCAATCAGCCCAGAAAGATGGTGGTTTGTCCAAGGTCATACAGACCGAAACTTGACTGTCTGGTCCCTCCCCGCTGCCTCTTCTGGTTGATCCATCCTGGCAGAAGCCCAAGCTGGTGTTATCAGTAAACCAGAGCAGAGCACCCGGGCAGACAATTAGCCAGAAGTCTGCTTTTACAAAGCAGCAGGGGCAATTCCCCGCGGCTGACTTTTCCCTGGGCAGGGGCCGTGGCGGGCGGGACCCAGGTGCACGCCTGGGTGGGTGAAACACAGCCGCCAAGGTCCCCAAAGAACTACTGCGAGGACCAATCGGTCACACCTGTAACCTAGCAACCCCGTCCTCCGGGCCCCGCCTCTTCCTTCGGCTTGGGCCTCGAGTCCCGCCTCTTCCGCCAGTCCCAGCTTCCCGGGATTCGGCGTCTTCCGCCAGTTTTGCCCCTGCTTCCTGGCCATGTGTGGTTCTGAGGCGCGTGTCTGCCGTCCGTGCCTGCTGTCCTTCTAGGTCCCCGCGGAGTGCGCGGTTGACGTCGCTCCCCACCCACCCGTGCGGCTATGGGGGTTCCCAAAAGGAAGGCCCCCGGCGGCCGGGCCGGGCCGGCCAAGCGAGCCCGCCAGGAAGAGTTCACGGGCGTAAGGTTCAAGGCTCAGCTGAAGGACCCGCAGGCTGTGGCTGCAGGTGCGTGTGGGGCGGTGGGCGTAGGGCCGGGGGCACGTGTGCACCCCGCGATCTGTGCACCCCTGCAGCTTTTGCGGGTCGCCGAGGGCCTGAGCCAGTGCCCCCGGGGGATGCCGGCGTCGCAGGCAGCAGCTTAGCTCACTGGTCCCCAGCCGGCCCCTCTCCTAGAAACTTGTAAAGAATGTCTGAGCAAGAGGGTCTTAGGGTTGGGACAGAGGCTGTAGCCGCATTGCACAGCCTTGCCCCGTGACATCTGGCCTCTGCCTCGTGCCGACAGGTGCCAGGGCCGGTAAGAGCTGGATTTGGCGAGCCTGTTGGTGACCATGGATAAAGATTAGGACACTCTGTGGGGAGTGTGCTTGGGTCTGGGCTCACGTTGGGTAACGTTCGCTTGGAGGTGGAGTGCGGGGGTGGGAGTTGGGGTGTTGTTTGCACCTGGCAAAGAGGAGAGGTTTCTGATGGTGCACCCCCTGTTGTGTAGTGGAGGAAACTGGGGTGTCCCTCTGATACAGGCCCTGAAGGATGGAGGGATGTGCATCCGGAGGATCAGAAGCCATCATTTATCACCATTCCAAGTGTGGGTGCGGTCAGTCCCTGCCAGGCCAGTGGTTAGGTTTGCCCAGAGAGAGGGAGAGACAGAGAGATCCCTTACCTGATGGGTCACTCCCCAAATGGCCATGATGGCCAGGGCTGGGCCCGGAGGTGCTCCATTGGGGTCTCCCAGGTGGGTGCAGGGGCCTGGTGGGCCACCTGCTGCTGCTGTCCCAGGAGCATTAGCAGGGAGTTGGATTGGAGGTAGAACACCCTGGAGTCGAACTGGTGCCCAGAAAGAATGCTGATTTTTCCAGCATGGCTTGACATGCTATACCACGTCTACCCCAGAAGATATGTTCAAACTTCAGATCTGATCATGTCATTTCGCTGGTGACACCCTGCAGTGATAGCCCAACATCCTCAGGGTGAAATACACAGTCATTACTGTTACCTTGTCTAGTGTGCTCAGGACATGTTGCTGGCTCTTGGAAGTCCTGCAGCTCGGCCATCTGTGCAGAGTCGGGTCTCACAGAACCCCTGCAGATGCCTCCGCCCCTAGGGCCGCAGGGGTCAGTTTCTTGAGGTTCTGGGTGGCTCTGCCACTGACTGACTGTATAGCTCCACCCCAGGGGCCTCAGTTGTCCCATCTGTGAAATGGGAGGAAATACGAATGCTCAAGGCAGAGGGCTGCAGGGGGACCGAATGGAGACATCCAAAAGCTGGTGGTGCCGTGTCCTGACCTTGGCATGTGTCATTCCTCCTGTGGCCGAGGGAAGGGATGCTAAGGGGTGTCCTTGTTGGAGCCGGGCAAAAGCTATGAACGTTGCTTGTCTTCTTGCCCTGCCCTCATCGCTGTCTTTCGGAATGGTGGGCTATTACACCCATGTGGGCTTGCTCAGGCAGCCAGGATGTAATGCTGCGCACAGGGTGAGCTGTGCAGCAGATCGGTGTGAAGTGGTTCTGTAGGTGAAACGGCCAAGCCAAGGGCTCTGGTGCAGGCTGCCTTCCTGGCTTGCATATAGCCACCTCCTTAGTCTGTTGAGGAGCCCAGACCTATAGGGCTCGGGGTGCACCCTCAGCACCCAGAATCATCTCCTTGAAGGCCCTGTCTCCAGTACAGTTGCTTGGGGGTCAGCTTGTGAGCTTGGTGGAGGGTTTGTGTTCAGGCAGGCCGTGACGGCGAACTGGTTCATGAGGAGGCCGTTTAGGGCCAGGCGTACCTCTTCCTTTCCAGCCTTGGAAGCGTTCCTCTCCGCTGCGCGGAAGCTGCCCTGCGTGGACGTGTATGACGTGGTAGAAGGCTACATCAAGATCTCGGTGGAGTGCGCCGAGCTCTTCCAGCTCCTGAGTGGCGAGAAACGGCCCGAGAGTGAAGTAGGTAGTTCTGACCTCGGTGGAGCCTTCCAAGTCAGGGCCAGCGGCCTACAGACACTCTGGCTCCGTGCCCGTGCCACAGGCATCCATCTGAGCACATCACTGCCTTCGTGACCGTGGGGGGCCTTTCGCGGAAGACGCTGTCTCATTTATATGGGGGGGGGGGGCATGGTGGAGAGAAGCCTGCGTTCTGGATCAGTGTCTGGTTTCACCTGGTCGGTTGTGACATGAAGAAGTGGGCACTGGCTCCATGGCTCTGAGAAACACTGGATTATCTGCTATATCCGGAGGGGCTCAAATGGGGGATAACTGGGCACGGGTTGAGACCTCAGGGTCATGGCTGTAGGGTCAGAGGCTTGGACAGCCTCAGAGCTTGAGGTCCGCTCCAGAAAAGCATGTGCTTTTCTTCCCCGTTGTACAGTTGTGAGCAAGCTGTTGGCCGTGTGGCTACATTGTGAGAGCACGACAGGGCCTTGGTCTTGAAGGGTCAGTCTGCGAAACTGTCTCCCGCCTTACCTTGATGCTAATCCTTCAGGTTGAGGCGGTTTTGGTTTTATTTATTTTGATTTGAAAAGCAGAGCAGAGTTCTAGAGAAAGAGGGACACAGAGAGAGAGAGAGATCTTCCATCCATGGGTTCAGTTTCCAAATGGCTGCAAAGCCAGGAGCCAGGAGCCTCCTCCATATCTCCCCTGTAAGTGCAGGGGCCCAAGGACTTGGGCTTTTCTCTGCTGCTTTCCCAGTCTATAAGTAGGGAGCTGGATAGGAAGTAGAGCAGCCAGGACTCAAACCAGTGCCCGTGTGGGATGCCAGCACCCTAGGGGGTGGCATTTTTGCTGCACCATGGCACACTGGCCCCGTAAGCCTTCGGGTAATAGTAGCTAAGACAAGGAACATTTCCTGGGTGGGGGAAAGGTGGGTGAGGATTGATAAGCAGTTCATCTCTGCCTTCGCAGTTGCTGTTAATATTTCAAGTTTTTGAAGCCATCTTGCTGCGGACAGCAGGCGACCTGTCCCATTTCCACGTCGCGGGGATCAACATAGTGAAGAAGCTGCTGAACAACCACATGAAGCTCCTGTGTGAATCCCTGTACGCCTCAGGTTACAGGTGCGCTGCCCGCCCTCTGCCTTCGCTCGTGAAGGACACGTGAGCTGTTTCCACGGATCTCGTCTGGGTCTCCGCCCCGTTTTCTTTCTCTGAGCCCAGGCCCCCGGCCATCACTCTGCCACATTTGCTACGTTCCTCACCACCCTAAAAGAACTCCTTCGTCCCAGTGCTGGGTTCTCTGTGCCTGTCAGGGTTTGTCAGAAGTGTCACTTGACAAGATCGTCCTTGGCCAGACTATGTCCCGTAGCATTTGCACCTGCCACCCTTCTTCAGCCTGCTCTACTTTTCTCCCAGAGGTAGCCATTTTTTTCTTTGTTTGTTTGCTTAGCACATTCTGTGCCTGTCTTGATGAGGCTGTGAGGTGCCTGCAGTGGCGCCGTCCCAGCCCTGTGCCTTGCTTGTCGCAGGTGCTCCCTGAATGGTGCGTCACAGGTGACTGTAGAGCAGAGGCGGTGCTGAGAGCTTGCTCTTGGGGACACCACGTGGTGTCTCAGCCACATGCTTTGTTTCCTGCAGGGATCCTTGCCCAACTCTGTGTATTACATTCTGTTCTGGTTTTACTTTTTATTAAAAACAGGATGTGTCCTAGTGGACCCTTCTGTCCGTCCTCAGCCTAGGGAGGGGAGCGGATCACACAGCTAGCTACACAACGAGCTGTTCCTGACAGGTCTACTGTCCTTATTCCCTGCAGGATGGCCCGAGCCTGCCTGAACCTGCTGGCCGCCATGGTGACCCAGGGGTCCGAAGCTGCCAGGGATGTCTGTGGCCACTTTGATTTAAATAAAAAGACCTTGCACACCCTGGTGACCAAGAGGGATTCAAAGGTGAGTGCCCCAAGTGTGTTGTACCTTCTGTGACCCCCCTCCATCCCTTCCTCCACCTCCTCTGGAGGGTCACAAGGTTTTCTGCTCTATCTCACAACTCAGTCTCACCTGGCTGGAGCAGGGCCCGGGAGGAGGGCCCCTGTGGCAGAGCTTGCCCAGGCTGTCCCTCGGGGCTCAGGGTGCAGCCTTCCCAGATGTGGGAATGGGGCTACTGGTGAGCATGTCCTTCTAAGTAACCAGGGATCCTCTGTAAGTGGAAATCCTGGGGTTAGCGCCTGGCTTTTCCATCCGGGACTTGCACCTGCCAGTTACTGGGCCATCTTCTGCTGCTTTCCAAGGTGCTTTCGCAGGGAGCTGGATCAAAAGTGGAGCAGCTGGCGCTTGAATGGATGCCTATAGGGGAAGCCAGCATCACAGCAGGCGACTTTACTTACTAAGCCACAGTGCTGGTCCCCCTTCCTGAACTTCCACCCTTGGGCCCGGGCAGGCTGTGCTTCTCAGTGAGCTGTAGAATGGGAATTACTGCTGAGTTGGAGTGTTTTTACCCTCTTTCCCGTGTTCTTCTGTATCGATGTCTTAAACAGGAATGGTACCCAGATAGACACCTTCACAGCCGAGGGCATGTCAGGAGTGCTCACAGCTGAAAGAAGCTCCTGGCTTCTAAGGAGCACACAGCAATCCTGAGCTTGGGTGTCAGCATGTGCTCTTGACACTGTAAGGCCTTCCCCAGCCCTTGTCTTTAACACCACCACACACACGCCATCGATCAGTTCCCAGTGTCATCTCATAGACCCAGCTCCGATCTCAGCTCCTCCTGACTACCCCCGAATAGGTTTATGCTCCACGGTTCAAGTCATGATCCCGGCGAGGGGCACACGTGTCTGGCTGATAGGTTACTTAAACCTCTTTCGAATCTTGGGAGTTTTTCTTGCTTTGCCTCACCCAACACCCTTTGTGAGTGTGTGTGTGTGCGTGTGTGTGTGTGTGACTTTTAGTTGTTGAATATGCTAGTTAAGTGTTTTTCCCCCTCTCCTTTTATGAGTGCATTGGAACATTATTTAAAGCCTCAAGCACGAAGAGGATTATGGATAGACTCACGCAGCCAAAGAAAGCATTGTTAAAGTCCTGTGCCAAGGAGCAGCTTTGCCAGATACATCGTGGTCTGTTTTAGACAGGATTTCGCTGCCCGGGATCCTGACGCCGCGAGGTCACACGAGAGGAATGAGGAGTAGGCGCAGGCCAGCTTTGAGTGCAAGTGGGCTTCTTTCTTTTCTTTTTCTCTTTCTTTCTTTCTCTCTTTCTTTCAGATTAATTTGTTTGAAAAGCAGAGTAAACAGAGAGAGAGAGACAGAGAGGGCTCTTCTGTCGGTCTGTTCACTTCCTAGTTGGAGATGGGCTAGGCTAAAGCCAGGAGCTCTGACACTGCCCTGCCAGTGGCAGCTGCCAAATCACATAGGCCATCTTCTGCCATCTTCCCAGGTGTACCAGCAGGGAGCTCGATTGGATGTGGAGCAGCTGGGACTCACACCTATGCTCCTGTGGGATGCTATCCTCACAAGTGACGGCTTAACCCACTGCACCACAGGGAGTGGGATGCCTCAGATGGAGTGTGCTGAGGGTAGCAACCCAGGCAGCTGTGTGGATGCCTGCACTGTGGCCACCTTGGAGTGACCAACAGGTGGGTATGTGTCAGGGGTTCCGTCCCATTCCTGCAGTGTTAGGGAAGTGTCTAGCATATACAAGATGGAGTTGGGTGATAACTGAATTGCTTTAGGGACCTGAAAAACAGTCTAGCCCAATGCTGTCATGTACAAGTAGGATAGAAAGATCTAGAACAGGAGACAGTGGGTTCAAGTGTCCAAGTTTTCCAGGGCCCTGACTCCAAATAATGCTAGTTGAGCAGAAATTGGGACCATTGTGTGTCCTCTTCACTAGCAGGGAACAAGCACAGCCTGATTTAATTCCTCCAAGGCCAAAGGTTTGCCAAAAGTCCTTTCCTGCGGTCAGTGTTGGAGCTAGTGCTCTCTTGTTTGAACAGTGAGGGAGTGGTGAGGAGCTTCCTGGAGACAGAGACGGTAGCCCAAGCATCTCAGGATCTTTGTATTGGGCCCGGCGCGGTGGCCTAGCGGCTAAAGTCCTCACCTTGTATGCCCGGGATCCCATATGAGTGCCGGTTCTAATCTCAGCAGCTCCACTTCCCATCCAGCTCCCTGCTTGTGGCCTGGGAGAGCAGTTGAGGACGGCCCAATGCTTTGGGGATCCTGCACCCATGTGGGAGACCTGGAGAAGTTCCTGGCTCCTGGCTCCGGATCGGCACAGCACTGGCCATTGTGGTCCCTTGGGGAGTGAATTGTCAGACGGAGGATCTTCTTCTCTATCTCTCCTCCTCTCTATACATCTGACTTTGCAATAAAAATAAATAAATCTTTACAAAAAAAAAAGGATCCATGTATCAAAGCCAGCCTTGGGCCCAGCACGATGGCCTAGTGGCTTAAGTCCTCGCCTTAAATGTGCCAAGATCCCATATGGATACAGTTTCTTACCCCGGCAGCTTCACTTCCCATCCAGCTCCCTGCTTGTGGCCTAGGAGGCATTTGAGAATGGCTCAAAGCCTTGGGACCTTGCATGTGCGTGGGGAGACCTGGAGGAGGTTCCTGTCTCCTGGCTTCAGACCGGCACAGCTCCAGCCGTTGCGGTCACTAGGGGAGTGAATCATCAGATGGAAGATCTTCCTCTCTGTCTCTCCTCCTCTCTGTATATCTGACTTTGCAATAAAAATAAATAAATCTTAAAAAAAAAAAAATCCAGCCTTGACCAAGCAAGGACGTGCTGAAGTATGACGCATGCGTGAGCCTAGATCCTTGGGTGAGCCAACAGGGGTGGCCATCCTTTCCTTTGCCCCAAGGTCACTGAGACCTAAATGGTGCCACTAAGAGAGAATGTGACATGAGTGGGCCTCAGCATTGAGAAGCAGCGGGGAGCTGCTCCACAGTCAGGGTAGCCAGGTGTGTGACCCCGGGGTCCTGGGCACTCTTGCTGCGTGCCTTTGAGTGAGCTCTTTGTATTTTTAATTGTTTTAGTTACTGAAATTGGCTTGAAAGGCAGAGAGACGGGGCGGAAGGAGACAGCTGCCGTCCGCTGGTTCACTCCCCACCAGCCCACAGCAGCCAGGACCACCAGGAGACAGGAGCTTCATCTGGGTCTCCCATGTGGATGCAAGGCCTCGGGAACTGAGGCCATGTACTGCTGCTTTCCCAGGTGTGTTAACAAGGAACGGGATTGGAAGCAGAGCAGCTGGGATTGGAACTATAGCCCTTTTGGAATGCCAGCATTGCTCACAGTTAAGCCACTGCACAACCAACACCGGTCTGTCGAGTGAGGTTTTCTTTGCCTCAGTTTCTTCATCTGTGAAATGGTTGTGACAGGCATCTGAACCTCGAGTTGCTCTGAGGACTCGATAAGTAGCAGGTATAATGGTCATCATGGTCATCACTCCTGCTCCCCACCCTCTACCGCCATTATTCAGGGACACAGAAATCTCTGGAAGGCAGAGATTGCTTCTTTAGCTTCCCTGGTATTCAGGGATTCAGTCTCGGTGATTCTGCTTGTTTCTTGGCAGTGAACTAGTGCGCCTGCCGAGTGCCTGTTGGGGAGGGATCCACTTCCAGTTCCACAGTGCAGGGTTAGCCGCACACGTTGGCTCCAACACGGTCGCCCGGGGCCTTGCCTGACGCGCGTCTCGGGGGCCTTACCACACATGGAATGATGAATAGTTTGGCTTAGCCACTCATCAAGGTTTTTAGACTCTTGTCAAGGGCACCCACCATCCTGGGTCACATGGCTGAAGCCCACAGGGCAGTGCCGGCCACAAGGCCTGGGGAGGCTTGCAGCATTTGCACCTGGGAGGGCAGTGGAGGATTGCTCCGATCCCTGATGCCCACATGGGAGAAACTCCTGATTCCTGGCTTTGGAGTTGGCCGTTACAGCTGTGTGGGGGAGTGATCAGCGCATGGAAGGTGGTATCTCTGTCTCTGTCTCTGTAACTCTGTTCAAATAAAAGTAAGCAAACAGGGCCCAGCGCAATGGCATAGTGGTTAAGGTCCTCACCTTGCATGCACCAGGATCCCATATGAGCGCTGGTTCATATCCCAACAGCCCCGCTTCCCATCCAGCTCCCTGTCTGTGGCCTGGGAAGGCGATCGAGGAAGCCTTGGGACCCTGCACCCGCTTGGGAGACCCGGAGGAGCTCCTGGCTCTTGGCTTTGGATTGACTCAGCTCCAGCCGTTGCAGTCACTTGGGAAGTGAACCATCGGATGGAGGATTTTCTTCTCTGTCTTTCCTCCTCTCTGTATATCTGCCTTTCCAATAGAAATAAATAAATCTTTAAAAAAAAAAAAAGTAAGCAAAGAACGCTGGCTTTGGGCCTCCACCGCCTGCTGACGGGGGCAGGAATAATGGCGCAGCAGGAGGGGCGTGTGCCTGCCACTGTCCATTCTGTCCTTTTGTACTATGTGGACTGTGCCCTTGACACATGGTCTGCTCCGTCCTTAGGGAGTGCCCGATGTCCGGCTGGCCTACATCCAGTTTGCCCTGTCCTTCCTCATCGCAGGGGATGACAACACCATAGTGCAGGTGCTGGAACTGAAAGGTATGTGCGCGCATGCGTGTGTGTGGCGAAGCAGAGGTGATGTTGGTTTGTTCCCGCAGCTCAGAAAGCACATGGGTGTTCCTGTTCCACCAACCAGCTGCCAGCCAATACCCTGCCCAGGACAGGTGCCAACCTCGGAGCGCAGGGTGGGCAGACAAAGGCGGAACACACACCCATCCTATGTGGGATGCCAGCATTGCAGGCAGAAGCTTAACCTACTATACCACAGTGCCAGCTTCCTGATTTTCTTTTTTCTAAGAATAAAGAATTTGCTTTCATAGAGATGAAGTGCAGAATAAGTGACATTGGAGTGGCTCAGGTGCTTCTGCCCTGGGTCACGGTGCGTTGGCCAGGGACACAGTGTGGCACTCCAGGGGGTGGCTGTCTCTTCAGGGGTCAGAAAGTACCAGGAGTGAGCCAGAAGCAAACAGAGGCACACGGAAGTCTGCCCTAGCCTGTCTCTCCTGCCGGGAACACAACTGAACAATGGAGTATTAGAACACTGTCGCAACACACACTTTCAAACAGTCAGTGTTGATTTTACTTACTATGAGTAAAGAAAAAGAATCATGAAACTGCTTCTTTAAAAAATTCTGTCATTGTTTCGTCTTTAAGAGCTCTTGGTTTACTTTGTCAGGAAAGGGGTTATTATGATGCAGTGAACTTGTATAATTAAAAAGGACAAAGCTAAAATCATTTCTTGGAAAAAAAAAAACGGCAGATGACATTGCTTACTAAACAGTAATGTGTGCCCACCTGTTTTCCTTTTCCAAATGCTTCTGAGTTTAATGCTTTGAAACTTTTCTTTTCAGAATTTATTCCTTGCATTTTTAGCTCAGGCATAAAGGAAGATAGGATTTCTACCATCAATATTTTGTTGTCCACACTGAAAACAAAGGTACGTGTTTGGGAAACAGCACTCCCATTATCCCTTTGGCTCTCATCAAAGAAGAGGGATTCCCTGGAGTTTTATGGGATGCTAGAACCACAGCTGCCTTTGTAGGGGGTTACAATGTGTAGGATGAATGGGAAGCAGTTACGTAAGCAGACACTTGCTCTTGGTGATGAACAAAGACCAGGACCAAAAAAAGCTGAAGGATGGCAGGTGTTTCACATCCTGTCAACTGTGGGAGAAAAGCCTTGTTTGACATTGCCTGGTAAGCCTGTGTAACTGTCATGAACTTTATTTATTTTGAAAGGCAGAGTTAGAGAGAGAGATGAAAGAGAGAAATCTTCTGCCCACTGGGTCACTCCCCAAATGGTTGTAATGGTCAGGGCTGGGTCAGACGGAAGTCAGGAGCCAGGAGTTTCTTCCAGGTCTTCCTCGTGTGTCTTCTACTATCAGGATATTAGCAGGGAACAGAGTCAGAAGCAGAGCAGCTGAGCCACGAACCAGCACACACATAGGCTGTTGGTGTTGCAGGCCATGGCTTTACCCGCTACACCACAGTGCCGGCCCCCACGATGATGCTGTAGTGCAGGGGTGGGGAGCTTCCTGCCTGCAGGCCACTTCAGGCCTGCAAAGATAATTTGATCTTGGCCCTGCCAGAGCAACCACAGGTAGAATTCAAAATTGAATAAATCTGTAGCAGGCTCATTTTTAAGTTGGTAATTTTGTATGTCCCGCAAGTGATGTTAAAAATATCCGTTGGCCTTTGGCAAGGAAAAAATAGATTCCTCACTCCCTCTTCTAAGGGAATATTTAATAAAGCAGAAAAAGCAGCTTTCCTTATGTAAGTAGAGGAGATACACGGCCACGCATAAACAGAATCTCAGGTGATAGGCAGCGCGTGTGTGCATACACGTGTGTGCTCGCACACTCGCACACGTGTGCAGAGACTCAAAGTAAATGCACCAGAGTGCCAACTGGGTGTCCCAAGGTTGAGCATGTGGATGGATCTCATGGTTCTATTTTCCTTTTTGTTTAATCAAGCTTTTGCCATTAGCATGTGCTGTAGTTAGAGGGATGAGAACACAGTGGAGGTCATTGCGGAAATGAACCGAGCCTCATCCTCGTCCGCAGGTGGTTCACAACAAAAGTATCACGAAGACCCAGAAGGTGCGTTTCTTCACGGCGCAGCTGCTCAGCCACATAGCCTCTCTCTACGCCTGGAACGGGATTGCCGACGTGAGCCCCGACAACCCGGAAGACATGGAGGTGCGTGGTCCTCGGCGCCTCACAGGTGCTCTCGTCCCAGGGTCGGGGTGGAGGGATGCTCCCAGCTGACAGCAGCATGCCACACCCTCAGATCTCTTTGGACTTACAGCTATCTGGCTAGCTTGCCCTAGTTTCTATGCCGCATATTTTGTAAAATTTAAAAAAAAAAATGTTGTGACACTGAGACTTCTGTTCTGCTCCCTGAGTTATTATAATCTGTATTGGATTTTCTTTTCGTTAATGAGAAACCCGTTGGCACCTTTGGCCAGGCGGGCAGCCCCTGAGGTTCTCCTGGGATGCATGTCTTTAGCTTTAGACCAGTGCACCCACCCCCTGCTCTTTCTTTCAGGTGTCCACAGCCTCAGTTACAGATGCGAATAATTTTTTTAAAGGATGTTTTCTCTCTTGTCTTTTTAAAGAATATTTAATTTTTATTGGAAAAGCAGATATACAGAGGAGGAGATGGAAAAGAAGATCTTCCGTCCAATAGTTCATTCCCCAAGCTGCTGCAACAGCAGGAGCTGAGCCTATCCAAAGCCAGGAGCCAGGAGCCTCCTCCTGGTCTCTCACATGGGTGCAGGGTCCCAAGGCTTTGGGCCGCCCTCAGCTGCCCTCCCAGGCCGCAAGCAGGGAGCTGGATGGGAAGCAGGGTGCCAGGATTAAAACTGGCGCCCATATGGGATCCTGGCGTGTTCAAGGCGAGGACTTTAGCCGTGAGGCTACCAAGCTGGGCCCAAGATGTAAATACTTTATTTTAGAGCAGCTAATGTGATACCAGATTGAAAGCAGTTGCTCTCACATCAACCCAAGTCCGTTGTGCATTTGAACTTTCCCCCTTTGCGTTTTCCCTGGGGACATTTCTGACCGTGGACTTGGCCGAGTGGTGAGGACTCACACTTCCTGCTAGCTCTTTGATCATTCATCCAGCCCCGTGGCCCACTGTAATTTGCCCAGGTCCTCTTGTCTTGAACTTGTCTTTCCGCCCCATTGCCAGGAAGCCTCAGGGGCTTCGTAAAAACCCTCGCAAATGTGGGGTTTTATTCGGAAGAGCAAGGGAAATGAAGTCATTTTTAAGCTTTTAGAAAGACATGTTGAAACCTGCCCCGTGTGAGCGCCTTTCCGTCCTGCTGGTGCATCCATGTTTCACTTCTTGCGTCTTGGGCTCTTGGACTGATGCTGAGTCTTCAGCGTGTGGAAGTCCTCCGTCTTTATTTCCGAGCTGTGCAGAGGTTTGGGATTCACTGTTTCTCTTTTGCACCCCTCTCAGGTGTCTGCGGGAGAGGCGGGGACGGCCATGGTGCGGGAGCTGGTTCACGGCTTCCTGCTGGAGCTTTGCTGCTCCCTCAAGCATGGCATTAACTTCTACGATGCATCCCTGGGCACCTTTGGCAGGTAAAGTGAGACCACGTGTGTGTGAACCCTGTGGGGGCACGGGGACCGGTCCTCAGATGTTATCACGAGCGTGACTGCCTAGTGCAAACTAAGGACCTCGTGCAGTTGTAACTAGAATGGTGGGCGCTTCCTCACCTTGGAGAATGGGCAGTGAGAGACAGGGAGAACTTCTTGGTGTTCCATGTCCCGCCCCTGGGCGGAGAGCAGTTTTAAAGGATACTGCAGAGGATGTATCCTTTCTCCCAGGGAGGGGAGATGCTTGTGGTATTAAAGGTTAGACTCTAGGAGTTGACTGTATCAGCCAGACTGCTGACAGGATTCCACAACTGTGCGCTTGGATTGTATAACACATTTCAATTATGATAATGCTTCATCAGCAGGGAGAGTATCAGGTCCAAATCTGGTGTTGATTATAGTCTCGTAGACTTTGCTTTTATTTATGTATTTATTTAAGGTTTATTTATTTTTATTGCAAAGTCAGACATACAGAGAAGAGGAGAGACAGAGAGAAATATCTTTCGTCTGATAACTCACTTCCCAAGTGAGTGTGACTGCCAGTGCTGTGCTGATCCGAAGCCAGGAGTCAGGAACTTCCTCCAGGTCTCCCCACGTGCGTGCAGGGTCCCAAGACTTTGGGCCGTCCTTGAGTGTTTTCCCAGGCCACAAACAGGGACCTGGATGGGAAGTGGAGCTGCCAGGATATGAACCAGTGTCCTGTGGGATCCCAGTGCATTCAAGACAGGACTTTAGCTGCTAGGTCATCGTGCTGGGCCCTCTCGTAAACTTTGTAGTGTGTAGTACAGGGGGCTTTGGAAAGGTAATGGGAAGATGGCATTAAAAGATAAACATGGGGGCTGGTGTTGAGTACTGCAGGTTACTTGTTACCCCAGCATCCTGTGCGGGCACCTGGCTGTGTCCCAACTGCTCCACTTCCAATTCAGCTTCTTGCTAATGCACCTAGGAAAACAGTAGGAGATGGCCCAAGTGCTTGGGTCTCTGCCATCCCAGTGGGAGAGAGATACATGGAATCTAAGCTCCTGGCATTGGCCTAGCCGAGCGCCAGTCATTGGAACCATTGTGTGTGTGTGTGTGTGTGTGTGTTTTCCCCCCTGTTCCACTTGTCATTGTGTTCACATTTTGTTATTACTACAAAGTGCCTAACGAAAGCCACTTGGGCTGGAAGGAAGCTGGTTTTGCCCCCTGGTTTTGGAGGCTCACAGTCCGACCGTGGGCTGCCACCTTGCTTCAGCCACCAGTGACCATGGCTGTGCTGAGGTAGGGCACACAGACAGAAAAAAGCATCGCACCACAAGGCAGGAAGCAGAGCCAAAGACTGGCCTGGCTTACTTGAGCGCCCAGCCTACTCTTGAGCACTTCTTCCATAGAGGGGTGTAAGGACCTCCCTCCAGGCCACACCTCAACTGCATAATTAGATTAAAAGTCTGGTGCCCGGCCACTTAGTGCTGCTGACCTAAATGCTTAGCGAGTATACACTTAAGGCCTTGGTGAGCCAAGTGCTGGTCAAACTCTGGCAGTTGTCTTGTCATCCTTTTGTTTTTCTTTGCCTGCTTGGTTTTACTGTAGCATTTTGTTTTTGTTTTCTCGTAGTAGTAACTTCTTTCACCTGCTAAGTGAAGGTGTAGGAATTTGATCCTCAGGTTAAAAGTCTGATGCTCTACCGACTGAGCTATCCGGGCCTCTGTAAGGTGTAGGAATTTGAAATCAGTGAGAAACAAAAAGGACAGGTGGGCAAACACCTTGTGCTGGCCTGAATTTCAGAAATGGTTTTATGACGTTTTGAAGCATGCATCAATCTCTCGAGCACTTTGGATTAAAAACAAACTGGGCCTTGTGTGATGGCCCAGTGGCTAAATCCATGCCTTGTATACTGCAGGATCCCATATGGGTGCTGACTCATGTCGCGGCTTCTCCACTTACCATCCACCCAGCTCTCTGCTTGTGGCCTGGGAAAGCAGTAGAGGACAGCTCAAAGCCTTAGGACCCTGCACCCACGTGGGAGACTCGGAAGAAGGTCTGGCTTCTGGCTTTGAATCAGCTCAGTTCTGACAGTTGCAGCCACTTGGGCAGTAAACCAGTGAACAAATCCTTCTCTCTGTATCTCCTCCTCTCTGTTTAGCTGACTTTCCAATACAAGTAAGGAAATGTTTTTTAAAAAGCTATTGAAAAGGCAGATTTACAGAGAGGAGATACAGAGAGAAGAAAGATTTGTTCACTGGTTCACTACCTAAGTCACTGCAATTGTCAGAGCTGAGCCAACCCAGAGCCAGGAGCCAAGAGTTTGCTCTGAATCCCCCATGTGCATACAGGATCCCAAGGCCTTAGACCGTCTTTAACTGATTTCCCAGACCACAGGGACTGCTTTCCCAGGCCACAAGGAGGAACCGGGGCTGCTGGGACATAAACCAGTGCCTATATGGGATTCCGGCACATGCAATGCAAGGAGTTTTAGCCACTAGACTACTGCGCTGGGGCCAAATAAAAATGTTTTAAAAATAAATCTCGGGCCCGGCGCAGTGGTGCAAGTGGTTAAGGTCCTCGCCTTGCACGCCCGGGATCCCATATGGGCGCCAGTTCTATCCCGGCAGCCCCGCTTCCCTTCCAGCTCCCTGCCTGTGGCCCGGGAAAGCAGTCGAGGACGGCCCAAAGCTTTGGGACCCTGCACCCGCGTGGGAGACCCAGAAGAGGCTCCTGGCTTCAGATCGGCATAGCATCGGCCGTTGCGCTCACTTAGGGAGTGAATCATCGGACGGAAGCTCTTCCTCTCTGTCTCTCCTCTCTGTATATCTGCCTTTCCAATAAAAAAATAATAAAAATAAATCTTTAAAAAAAAAATAAATAGGGCCCGGCGCGGTGGCGCAAGTGGTTAAAGGTCCTCGCCTTGCACCCCCGGGATCCCATATGGGCGCCGGTTCTAATCCCGGCAGCCCCGCTTCCCTTCCAGCTCCCTGCTTGTGGCCTGGGAAAGCAGTCGAGGACGGCCCAAAGCTTTGGGAACCTGCACCCGCGTGGGAGACCCGGAAGAGGCTCCTGGCTTCGGATCGGCATAGTATCTGCCCGTTGCGCTCACTTGGGGAGTGAATCATCGGACGGAAGATCTTCCTCTCTGTCTCTCCTCTCTGTATATCCGCCTTTCCAATGAAAAAATAATAAAAATAAAAAATCTTTAAAAAAAAAAAATAAATAAATAAAAATAAATCTTGGGCCTGGCACAATAGCATACTGGTTAAAGTCCTCGCATTGAACGTGCTGGGATCCCGTATGGTCGCCGGTTCTAATCCCTTCAGCCCTGTTTCCCATCCAGCTGCCTGCCTGTGGCCTGGGAAAGCAGTGGAGAACAGCCCAAAGCCTTGGGACCCTGCACCCGCGTGGGAGACCCGGAAGAGCTCTGGCTCCTGGCTTCGGATGGGCTCAGTTCCTGCCATTGTGGTCACTTGGGGAGTGAATCATCGGACGGAAGCTCTTCCTCTCTATCTCTCCTCCTCCTCTGTATATCTGCCTTTCCAATAAAAATAAATAAATCTTTAAAAGCAAATGATTAAACAACAACTTAAGCCATTAAAAAGAAAGGTGCCATATTTGTATTTTTTACACTCACACATTTGTTTTTTCTTCTGTCTGAGGAAAGAGGTCAGTGAACTTTTGGAAGGGAGTTCCCCCTGCTGAGGTTTGATTTTGCCATTTCCTTTCCTTTCTTTTAGATTTACTTTTTTTTAAATTAAGAGTTATTTATTTTTATTACAAAGTCAGATGTATAAAGAGGAGAAGAGACAGAGAGGAAGATCTTCCATCCAATGATTCATTCCCCAAGTGACTGCAATAGCCAGTGCTGCGCCAATCCGAAGCTGGGAACCAGGAACCTCTTCCGGGTCTCCCACATGGGTGCAGGGTCCCAAGGCTTTGGGCTGTCCTCCACTGCTTTCCCAGGCCACAAGCAGGGAGCTGGATGGTAAGTGGAGCTGCCGGGATATAAACCAGCGCCCATATGGGATCCCGGCGTGTTCAAGGCGAGGACTTTAGCTGCTAGATCACACCGCTGGGCCCTAGATTTACTTTTGTTTGAAAGGCAGAATTACAGAGAAAAGGGGAGAGAGGTTATACACTGGCTCACCCCCCAGATGACTGCTCCTGTGTGGTTGCAAGTGCCTAAGCCCTGGGGCCACCTTCCGCTGCTTTCCTAGACGGTTGCCCGGGAGCTAGGTCAGAACTGGCATCCATAGGAGATGCCAGCACTGCAGTTGTTGGGTAACAAGGTCTTTGTTTGTGGTAATCTCAGCTGCCTGAACAGGCCAACTGATGGATGGCAGGGTAGGGCAAGAGCAATTTCCTTCCCCCTTTGAAGCCACATTGAACTCAAGGGAGAAAAGGAGAAATGAGTGAAAGACTGTCAGGCACAGGAGTCGGGGATTGGAATGCAGGTCCTCAGGTGGGGAGTTGGGACCCCACTGGCCATGGCCTTGCCCCCAGCCCCCTGCCCCCTGGGACTAACTGGGACACATCCCCTTCTTCCCCTGCCCATGGGAGAGCAGCCATGCAAGGGGGAGTTGCAGCATTGTGAGCGCCCCCTGCTGACTGGTCAGCTGCCCTTTCTCCCCAGAGGAGGCAACCTGACCCTGCTGCACTTCCTGCTGGGGTTGAAGACAGCGGCAGATGACGAGCTGGTGGCCGAGCTGGTGGTGAACATCCTCAAAGTGTGCCCGGACTTGCTCAACAAGTACTTCAAGGAAGTGACCTTCTCCTTCCTGCCCAGAGTGAAGGCCACCTGGCAGAATAACATCAAGCTCCTCAACAAGGTCACATTCAGGGTCATGGCTGGGGCCCGGAAAGCTGGGAGGGTCTCTGCTGACATTCTAGCCCAAAAAGCACTACAATAGGAAGACTTCCTCTTTGGGCCAGAAGTGTGGTTTTTGGTCCTGTGAATTTGGTGACCTTGTTGCATTTCACTGAGCTGAATTTGGGGTTTTGGGTTTTTTTTTTTTTTTTCCTTTTGAATTTGTTGGAATGGGGTGTCTTCCCCATTGAAGCTTTGCTTGGAGTGAAAGATCTTGTTGCCTTTGGGAAGCACAGGAACAGCTGGAGTGCAGCAGCTGTGGCAGAGTTCTTAAATATTGCTGTTTCAGAAACTTCGAATAAGCTGTGTGATGTGGTCTGCTTGTTAAGTGGCTGTCTGTCAGTGTCCTTTTATTGTTAAAGTTTGTTTATTTTTTGCTTGAAATTTAGAGTTACAGAGAGACAGGGAGAGATCTTCCATTTGCTGGTTCACTCTCCGAAAGGCCATGATGATTAAAGTTGAGCTGGTCCAAAGCTGGGAGCCACTCACTTTCTTCCGAGTCCCCCACATGGGTGCAGAGGCCCAAGGCCTTGGGCCATCCTCTGCTGACTTGCCAGGGAGTCAACCACAGGGAGCTGGAGTGGAAGTAGAGGAGCCAGGACATGAAATGATGCTAGTTTGGGATGCTGGCACTGCAGGCAGAAGATTAGCTTGCTGCAGCACTGACCCCAATGTCCTTTTTTGTTTTGTGGATACTTATTTATTTGAAAGGCAGAGTTGGAGAGAGGAAGAGACAGAGAGAGATCTTCCATCTATTGATTCACTCCCCAAATGGCCTCAATAGATAGGAGTAAGCCAGGCCAAAGCCAGGAGCCGGGAGTTCATCTGGGTCTCCCACATGGAAGGCAGTGGTCGAAAGACTTGATCTTCTGCTGCTTTGCCAGGGCCTTAGCAAGGAGCTAGATTGGAAGGGGCACAGCCTGTACCCATATGGGCTGTCAGCAGTGCAATCCGCAGCTTGCCCTGTTGGGCCACAACGCCAGCCCCTGTCAGTTTCCTTTCTGTCTCAGATGCCAGCAGCCCTCATCTTGCCATGAGAGCACTCACTGTGAGATTTTTGGCTGTGCTGCTGGGCTCCAGGGAGCTTTCTGTCCATCTGCCTGATGCAGAGATACCTGTGATTATCTTAGGCTTCTAGCTGGGCCTGATGGCACCTGGGAAACAGGCCTTGATCCCGAGTCCCTGGAGACTCCTTGAGTGCCCTTATGTGCCCACGTGAAACCTGGGTGAGAATGTGCACTGTGTCCCCTTCCCAGGGAACACACAGTCCCGCTGTCAGCACCCCTCTTGGGAGCTGCTTTGGGCCCCACTCACCCAGTGCAGGGCATGGGCAAGCCCTGCTCCTTGCAGGCCTGGGCTCCAATCCTGGCTGTTCCTCTAGCTCTGTGGTCCTGGGGCTGTGGCTTAGCTTCCTTGATGCTCAGTTTTGTCACCCATAAACATGTTTTGTTTTTACTGTAAAATGTGTCCACCCCCAAGCTTCCAGGAGGTGGCACAGCCCATCAGGTGCCCAAGCAGGGCAGCAGTCACTGGGGGGCAATGCTGTTGCGGGCTCTAGCAGCAATCATTTGCTGTCAGAGGTTCTGACACACTCCCTGGAGCACAGATCAAGCTCTGCTTTGGGGTGGTCAGGCTGGGGACAGGTGGCCTTGGGGGCCCCAGGCCTTATTGTTGGTGACAGCTCTCCTATTGAGTGCCCATGGCGGACATCAGGCTTGACAGTTGCTTCTGACATTCTCTGTCTCTTCTTGTCCTCTTGCTAGATCTATGAAGCCCAGCCGGAAGTTTCCCGAGCGTTTCAGACTCGGGAGTTTATCCCCTTGCCGCGCCTGCTGGCCATGGTAATGGTGACCACTGCGCCCCTGGTCTGCAACAAGATCATGTTCACTCAAGCTTTAAATGTAAGACCATATGGTTGTCTTGCTTCCAGAATGTTCTCCCACTGAGCCTTCTGGCTGTGCTGCATGATTGCTCTTGTGAATACCAGCTTGGATGCGTTTGACTGGGTAGCAGTGGAGGGAGGGAGCCCTCTGTAGGATCAGGCAAGAAGGGCTTTAGTTCTGTTGGCCCAATCATCATATGCAAAATCAGGGCACAGTTGGCTTGCCTGTCTGTTCTGGAGGAGACATTACTATTTTCTGAGATGCTTGCTAGAAAATCATATCACAAAGCCTGTGTTCAATGTATATACTTGGGGGGTTGTGTTGGTGTACCCCTCTGCCACCCACTAGCCCCAGCTTTCTTCTGGTGGGCTGGAAAGTAAAAGGCTGGCCCTCACCTGCTCGTATGGGATGCTGACATCACAGAATGCCAGCCCCATCTGAAAACTCACCCAACAGTGACATCTGAGGATGGGGAGGGAGAGAGCTTGTTTTGGAAACAGGACCTAAGGTATTTGAAAGCAGGGTGCCAGCTGTTTTGGCGTGTTGCAAGCCCTGCAGGTGTCCTGCTGAGTCTTGTTTGAACCCTGCCTTCAGAGAGATGGAGCTGTTAGTGGCTTAGAACATTTCAGTGCAGTCCTCCTGCAGTGTACCGTGCCACTGGGAATGCTGGGGCACTGGCCTGAAGCAGGCATTAGATTCACTCACGGGACTTGTCTGATCTGTCTGAATCTCCAGCATCCCACCCCAGCTTCCCTCCTGTGCGCATGGGGCATTGCCATGGTGCAGATCCTGCATGCGCTGATCTGGGCTGGGGTCTCGAGCTGTGGGCTTCCTTTTGGTGCCACAGCAGGATTTTATGGTCCTTGAGCCTCGCTCAGCCTCTGTGGTGAGTGAGGGCTCGAGAGACCTCCCTGGCGGTGGTTTGTAGTAGTAAGAGGCCCGTGAGCGGGCTGCTCGTTCCCTGAGCCCTGAGCTGTACGGCAGGGAGTACATGTTAGCTGAGTGGCTGTCAGAGATGGCTTACCAAAGAGTCTGTGGCAAAAACCACCACGGGACTTTTCAGCCTTTCGTGTAGTTGTTTCCCCAGCGCTGCCAGGGTAAGACCTGCAGGCTTCTGGCAGGGCTAGTGGGGAGCGTGTGTCACCCTTCTGATGTAGCCATCACGTATGTGGCTTTACCTTGGAGGAATCCAAGAAGAGCAGTAGGCATGCGTGGGGCCAGGATAGCCTGTGGGCACTGTGCTCCAGAAACATCTGTGGTTTCACTGTTTTGTATCCCCAGCTGGACAGCAAGTCTGTGAAGCACACAGCATTGTCCCTGGTTTCTGCCATTTTGAAGAGAGCGTTGAAAACCATTGAGTACTGCCTGGACAAAGAGGTGTGGCAGGGCCCAGGCGTGTACACAGCCACCATGATGGAGGAGTTTGTGCAGCTCTTCAGAGAGGCCCTGAGCAAGGTAGGCTGGGCCTGCACCCCTCCACTGCAAACCACGGTGGGGTAGCCCAGGGCAGGGCTCGGGTATGTCCCGAGACACGGGGTGCGGGGAGGGCACAGTGTGGTAGTGTGGGTGCCAAGCCCCTGCTGATAAAGCCTGCTGCCTGCCATGATGGTCTAAGCAGCGCTGGTCACACTTAGGGTGTAGTGCAGACCTTCTTTTTTTTTTTTCTTTTAATTTCATTTTATGACATGGTTTCATAGGCTCTGGGATTCCCCTAACCTCCTCTGTGCCCTCCCCCCATGTTGGATTCCTCCACATTGTTGCAGTAGTACAGTTCATGTGCAGTCATGGTTCTTTCATTGCGAGCACGAACCATGCATAGAGTTCAGCCTCTCATGTTCAGATAATTTCAACAGTTTCCTTGGGAGACCATCCCTGGTCTGAAAGTAGAGCTGGCAGAATATCATCCCATCCAGTGAAATGCCACAACATAACCTCAACAACAATTTACAACATTATGGAGTTAATTGACATGGTATTGAGTGACCAATAAGTTAGAAAATGAAAGTTCTTAACCACTTTCTATGACTACTTCATTGACATTTCAATTTTAGTTTATACACAACCAGCTGCTATACACCTTAAAATGGTTTTAGGGTAATATTCAGCTGTCTCGTGTCTATTTTCATTTTTATATTTAGCAGTTTATAGTATTGAAACATAATTTTTACTGAACTTGGCGAATTTTAGGATAGTCCAAACTGGCTTATAACTCTAACAAGGCATATGTTAACAATTGAGGTGCAAAACAGTTTTAGGAGGGATGTGTAGAGAAATGTTCAATACTTTAGTGAGGAGTAACTAACCTTTGTGTCCTACCTAGTAAGGTATATGTGAGTCCAAGCTGACCGTTTCCTGTCTGGTTCTAAGCTTTCCTTGTTGCTCTCTGTCTATCTAATCTAATTTTAATTTTTTGCGGTGGGGAGCTCCAGAGCGACCCTGCTGGTCATTGCAAGAGAGGGTGTGGATCCAAAGTTGGAACTAAGTAAGGAACAGAGAAATCTCCCCTCCCTAGTACAGAACTTCTGTGCAGGATTGAGAATTCAGGTCATCTGCACGTTGTCCCGTGACAACAGTCGTGGAACTGTGGCTCTCTGGGATCATGTAGCCCCTTACACTTTGCTGCAAATGCTGACTGTCCCACAGCCCGGGCATGGGGTGGTGGCTTGGGAAGGCCTCCTTGGCCCTTCCTATGATTCAGTCTGCTCACGAGGGAGGCCAGGCACCTGCTAATTGTCCAGCAGCTCTGACACCACCCAGGTCACGTGGACCACGTGTCTTTTGCCCGAGTGTGATCAGTCCAGGGGTTGTGTTCGTGATCATGGTTGTTTGTGTACCATGTCATTCCAGGGTGGGAACGCAGCGTCTAGGGAAAGTGGCCCCAGTCTTGCCTGAGTTTTTTTTCTGACATGCACACTCACACACACTCAGATACTTGCTCAGGCCCCTCTGTGTGTTGCCCATGATTGCTTCCTTTGCTTGTCTTCATGAACATGACTGATTCCTCGCTTCTTTTTCCCCTCTTAGATCTTGCCAGACCTGAACACCATCGTGTGGGTCTGGCAGTCCCTGAAAAAGCAAGAGACAAAACAGGAGGACCGGAAAGGGAAGGAAGGAAGTGACAAGACTGTGGCAGCCCATGACATTCCCCAGTGTGGTGAGGGCTTTGGGGGGGCCGGGTGGGGCGCAGCCGGCATGGGCAGACCAGAGTGGCTCCATTTGAAAGGTTCTTGAATTTTTCTCATTTCCAAGCCCCTCAGTGGTTGTGACTGGGTCCTGGTCCTTTTTTTTCACTGAGAGAAAGAAACTGGAGTGGCCGTGCAGATTGAATGGGAGCAGCTCCGAGGGCCGAGCCCATGCTCGCTGGCAGTGTGGCGTTACCCTGAGCGGCTGTTGTCTGCTGCTCTGGCCTTTCGGGGCAGGGGAGGGATGGCCAAAGGGGAGGGCCGCAGCTCTCATTCTGCAGGTAGACCACACAGCCTCCCGCTGTGGACTGTATCCTTGTAGTTAATGAGGCCATGGGCCCTGTCCCTGTGGGTGCATCGCGTTTAACCCCTATCACAGCCCTGCCAGGGGAGCTCCTCATCTGTGCCCACCTTGCTCATATGAGTGCGGAAGCCCACGACAGGCTAGCCTGGTCCTGTCTTGAGGCCATCGCAGGGAAGCAGGGCCACACCCCGACCCCTTGAGCGGCCTCTGTCTTTCTGCCACCTTGACCCCATCATCTGAATCTGGAGGGATGTGTCTGTGACCCCAGTTGCCTGGCATGTAGGAGGCTGCCATGTGGCACCAGGTGTGGCCCCGCTGCCTCCCTGCTACTGGCAGGGGGCAAAGGCAGGTAGCTGTTAACGCAAGGTGCATGTGTGCTTTGGTGTAGATGACGCGGAAACCATTCTTCTGAAAGCCGTCCTGCTGCAGGTCATCTGCCTCTATCAGAAGGTGGTGCCGCACGTGGTCACCCAGTACAACTTCGACTTCAGCAAGCTCCTGAAAGGTGGGTGGCTGGGACCAGCAAGGCTTTTGCCACTGTCTAGGCCCCTGGGGCAGAGAGCACCCCCACGTACAAGAGGAGAATCCCCTGGTGTGGAGCAGGTAGCTTGCCTGTGCCCAGAGTGTTTTGAAATGCCTGGACTGTCTTAAGTCAGTGGAGGAACCCTTAGCTGCAGTGAGAGGAAAGGAGGAGCCAGCCAGCTGACCTACTGGGCAGCCCACAGGTCAGGCCACGTGAAGCCAGTTCTGAAGCGGCTTTTCAGGGGCAGGAGGTCAGCATACAGTTGAAATCAGGACCTTGTCATGAGGACATCTCCTCTGTAAGGGGGTCGCCACCCTGTGTTCCACCTACATGGGTCAGGATCAAAGGGCAGCTTGTCAAACTAGCACACTTGTCTGCCCACATTGCCTAGGGGTGCACTTGGCCCAATAAAATCAGCTTTCTAATGAAGACTTGCAGACCAGTCAGACTTGGAATTGATGTAAGTGTTCAATAACCCCTTTCCAAAAGCTACAATTCAATTTTTGTATACTTTTTGAATTAATGTTTATTGGAAAGACATATTTACACAGAGGAGAGAGAGACAAAGATCTTCCATCTACTAGTTTGCTCCTCAAATGGCTGCAACAGCCATAGCTGAGCTGATCTGAAGCTAGGAGCTTCTCTTGGTCTCCCACATGGGTGCAGGATCCCAAGGCTTTGGGCCACCCTCTGCCACCTTCCCAGGGCACAAACAGGGATGGGAAGTGGAGCAGCCAGAACATGAACTGTGCCCATATAGAATATTGACACTCAAAAGGACGGGGGGAATAACCAGCCTACTGCACCATTGTGCTGGGCCCCACCATTGAATATTTTTTTTTTAATTTTTAACTGCCATTAAACTTTTAACCACCCAAAGGTGAAAAGGCCGCTTTGCTAAGGGGGGTATAGAATTTGCTCACACGTGGCCATGTAGCGTTTGGTAGCTGTGTCTTTCCTTCCAAAGCAAGAGAGAAATCCAGAGCTTGGGGACCCAGGCTCCGGCTCTTGCCATCTGTGCGGAAAGGCCTGTGCCCCAAGTGAAGGATGACGTTAGCAGAAGCCCACACTGGGGGCAGTGAAGTGTGGTGGTGATGCCAGTGGCAAGACCGGTTCAGCCTGGGCACTGTGGCAGAGAAGGGCTGCCTTGGGCCAGTGGAATTTGGGCTTAGGGGATGGTGCTGGGTAGAGAAGCATGTATCAAGTGCACCATGCCTGGGCCCAGGCTGTGTGAAGGTGATCATAGACTCCCATGCATGCCCCTCTTTCTCTTTAGCCTTGTGCATTCCTCTGGTCCTGGGCGGTGGTTGCTGGGCCGTGCCTCTGGGTAACCCTTTCTCTTTCCTCTGGCATCCACAGGCGTCATCTCCGAGCAGGGCCTTCGGGAGGAGGCGCCCCCCATTCTGCAGCACCACATGCTGAAGGTGGCCCTCGAGCTGCCTGCCAACAAGTTTGTGTGGCTGAAGGCACAGGTAAGGAGTATGCCAGTCTAGGCACCTGCTGGGAACTCACCTGCCTCATGGGGCAGGACTATGGGGGCGCAGTGGAAGATGGGAGCAGCTCTCCATCTAGAGGCGCCTGGTGGAACAGAGCAGTCCCTGAGACACAGTGCGCTTCGGAGCAGTCCCTGACCCGGGCGCTGGGCCCCTGGGGAAACGGCGCCCTTCGGAGCAGTCTGTCATGCAAAGATACTCTTGCCAGGTGTAGGGAGTTTCCATTTATTTACCTCCACTGTTCTCCTTTTTTTTTTTTTTTCAGTTATTTAAAAACATTTTTGAAGGAAATAAGCACACACTTCCTCTTCTTTATCCTCAGCCTGGAATTGCGTAGGGCAGAGCTGGCAGCAGCGCGAAGCCCGCAGAGGGCTGTGCATGCCGAGGAGATCCCTAAACACAGCAATTTTTTCTGTGTTCAGTGGAGTCTTGCAGGCCTTTCTGAAGGATGTAATACTGAACTCTAAAGGGACGCTCAGACACCACAAACACTCTACACTCAGATGCTCCAGCACTTCTGTGCAAAGAAGGGAGATGGCTCGGCACACTAAAGCTCATTAGGGGATGTGCTTCTTTGTAGCTCAAGTTACTAATACGTTTTGGGTTTTTTGTTTTGTTTTTTTAAGATTTATTTTTATTTGCACAGCACCATTACAAAGAGAAGGAGAGAAACCATCTGCTGGCTCACTTCCCAAATGGCTGTAACACCTGGAGCTGGGCCAGGTCTCCCACATGGCTGCAGGGACCCAAGCACTCGGGACCTCTCCAGCTGCTTTCCCAGCTGCAATAGCAGGGAGTTGGATCAGAAGTCAAGCAGCTGGGACTTGAACCAGCATTCATGTGGGATGCCAACACCACAGTTAGCAGCTTTACCCACTGTACCACAGTGCCAGCCCCCCGTTTTTGTTTTTTTTTTTTATTTTAAAGGAATTTATTTTTATTTGGAAGGCAGATGTCTTTAGAGAGAAGGGGAGAGAGGCTTTGGACCCTTCACCGCTGCTTTCCCAGGCCATAAGCAGGGAGTGGATTGGAAGTAGAACAGCTGGGATACATCATACATGGAATGCCAATGCCACAGGGTGCAGAATTAGCCCGTTGAGCCACCGTGCCCCTCCCCCACCTTCCAGATTGTTTTGTAATGACTTGGATTTTGTGGACAGTAGAATTGGTGGTGTGAAAACACACATTGGAACTTTTATACACGGCATCTCCGGTGGAGTGTGGAATGCTGTGGCTGTGCGCTGTTTGTCTTCCCTGGTCCCAGCTGTGCGTCATTGTCTCCAGTTCTTGCCAACGTCCGCTGCTGTGTATGCCCTGTTAGGCTACTGTGTGTGCCTCCTGGAAAGACAGCGTATAGGGATATGGAGGGCTCAGGTGGCTTTCCCCAAGTGGCTGCCCTGCGTGGCCTCCCCCCTGCTGAAGTCACAGCCCCAGCCTCCTAGACTGGTGACAAAAGGGGCTATTGTTGACTGACTTTCTCTGTAGCAGAACTGGACCAGTTGGTCTTAATGATTAAATTGCAAATTGAATCGTGGCCTCTGAACAGAGCTGGTGCTAAGACATTTATTCCATGTGTCCCACCTGCTACAAGGGCATGTCCACAAGGTGCTAGAAATCTCCCACCAACTTTCTAAAGTACCCTCATCTGAGGAACTAATGCTGGCATGATCTGCCGGGCTCAGCTGACCCTGGCATCATGCCAGGGGCCACACAGATCCCATGGAGTTTAGGTTCAGGCTCTGGAGATGTATGTCTTTCCAAGATGCAGGGACCTAGCCTGGGAGTCTTTTTAGGAGGAGAAATGTTGGCAAGGGCGATGATGCCTTTAGCCAAAGCATCCTGGCACTGTGCCGCCAGTTCAGCCTCTAATGGAGTGACGTCACCACCCAACACTGGGCTCTGCACCATGCGGGCTGGGCTGGGTCCATGCTTCCCAACTATGCAAAGTAGAGCAGCAGCTCTGCCCACCTCACGGGGCTGTTGGGAGGATGAAGTGAGTGAGTACCCGTTAAGACCCATGGTTGGTGCTGTCACATGGTGGGGTTTGCCAGTGTTGGCTGTTAGCACTGTTCCTACAGCTGATGTTTGGAGTTTTGAATGAGTCTGAACCTCTGAGGTTGCTTGCACGTAGTCATGGGACCTGGCTGAGCTGTGGCTGCAGTGAGAGGAGAGGAAGGGCCTGAAGTGGCCTGGGCACAGGCGCACACGTTGGCTTAGTGAGCAACGGCCCGTGAGATTTTAAGATTGTGTGACTGCATATATAATTACACGCCTTCAAAGCCTCCCACCATCGTCTGCCCCCTAGGAAGGCCCGGACGCAGAGCAAGTGGCCGAGCGCTCTGTGTTCTACCTGCTGATGAAAATGTTTGTGACCAGTAGCCACCTGCAGCTGAAGTCGTCCACCCAACTTCTCATCATGAAGGTGAGTCCTCTCTCCCCTGTCCCTACTCTCAGTGGCCAGCTCAAAAACATTCCCCATGGGTCTGCTGAACAGCAGGTGCCTGGGAACGCTTGTCAGATTCAGGAGGTGCCATGACTTTTTTATTTATTTTATTGGAAACTCAGATTTACAGAGAGAAGGAGAGACAGAAAGATCTTCCATCTGCTGTTTCATTCCACAAGTGGCTGCAATGGCTGGAGCCGAGTCGGTCTGAAGCCAGGAGCCTCCTCCAGGTCTCCCATGTGGGTGTAGGAACCCAGGGCCTTGGGTGATCCTCTGCCTCTTTCCCAGGCCACAAGCAGGGCTGGAAGGAAAGTGGAGCAGCCGAAACATGAACTGGCACCCATATGGGAACCCGGCGCATGCAAGGCAAGGACTTTAGCCACTAGGCTACTGTGCCAGGCCTGCCAGGACCGTTTTTAAGTGTTAAAACAGAAGGCTTCTGTGTCTTAGACTTTTGCCATGTTTCCAGGAGCCAGTGTGTTAAAAGTGGAAAGGCAGCATGGGCTTTCAAGTCCAACTCCTAGATTCAAATCCCAATGTTACAGGGGCACTCTCAGAAGATCTTGGAGAATGAATCAGAGAATAAGTTCATTCTGGTGCAGAACGTTTCAAAATCCCTTCACAGTTTTCCCATGATGCTCACTTCCCACGGACTTATCCTTGTACTTCCTGGGTGGCCTTGGGCCACTGGCCCCACCTTTCTAAAGCTGTTAGGGTGATGGCGAGTGTCGGGGCAGGGCATGCCCTCACTTGGTGGTCTCAGGGTCTTCTCCCTCCCTGCTCTTCCAGGGAACCATGTAGCAGAGGGTGCCTCATTCCGCGAATCCTGGCCCTCTCTGTGGTCTCCAAAGCCTGTCTGACCTTGGCCGTTATCAAAGACTGAGGGAGGCGACGGGAGTTCCCTCCTCCTTGTGTCACTCCACACTGATGTTTCCAGAGCTTATAGTAGGAGGAACTCTAGCTCTTCATTTCTCCTGGGCATCAGATATGTGTTCAAAACCCGGGAAGGCAAGGCCTGTGCCTTAGGGGATGCTACCAGAACGATGTTCACTGTTGCTGCGGGGTGAAGATTTGACCCTTCACCTTCACTGCACTTTGATCTTTGAACCCTGTCCCCTGAGCCGCTTGAAGACGCTGCCGAGTATTTCTTGTACAGGTTGCCCTTTGCTTACAGGAAGTACAGGTGTGACCCTGGCCGACTCAGGCTGCCCAGTCCCTGCAAGTGGGAGGAATTGGCCTGCTCAGCTTTCTGTGGAGACCCAGGCCTGTGGACGTGGGCCTCGAGTCTCCGCCATCAGGCCATCCCTGTAGGATGTCATTGAGTCACCTTGCGACTCCAGGTCCCGCCTCAGCCCAGCTTGTATTTTGCGGGATATGGGGGGCAGTGTCTTGCTAGGTCTGAACAGGCAGCTGCCACTGTGACAGCATCAGAGGGCACTGCCCATGGAGTGCTTCGTACCGGCCAAGGGTTGAGCAGCCAGGAAGGGGCCCATCATGCCCACCGGCCTGGGTCTTGCCGAAAATTCAGATTTCTCCCCGTTTTGTTGTTTGGGAGTGAAGAGCAGGCCCAGGCAGCAGTGAGTCGGGGTCCTAATGTCATCTCTGATGGAGCTCACGATGGTCTCTCTCCCTGGGCCCCCTTGGGGATGCGGCTGCTGTTACAGCGTCTTTCCTAGAGGAAGACTGCAGGCCAGCCCTGTCCCACCTCATGCTCCCTGTGCTGGGACGCAGTGGCCTCGGCTGAACACAAGGCGACTTCTGGGCTGACTTCTCCCTGTGCCCCTGTTGCTGTCTCCCGCCAGATCCTGCGGGACACTGGTGTGTTTGAGCACACTTGGCGGGAGCTGGAACTCTGGCTGGAGCATTTAGACAACACAGCAGAAGAGCGCAAAGAAGCTGTGATTCAGTTCCTGGAACGCGTAAGCTACATCTGCACGTGTGGAAGGGGGCAGGTTTGGGGCGAATCACCGCAGGCTGGGTCCAACATGGTGATGGCTGTGCCAGGTGGTGTCCATGCCTCGGGCCTCTGCCTGGATTCTTGCTGAGATCTCCAAGTCAGCTTGGCTTTGGGATCTGCGCCACAGGAACCCAGGGCCGCCCCTCCTCTTCCCTCCTCCCCATTTCATTTCCTTGGGGGAGTTTGCTCCCACTCGGGTGTACCCCACAACAGTGCACTTTGTATGCGTGACCATCTGAGTGTCCCTGTCTTGGCTGTCTCCCACCCAGGTGTTGCTGACTTTGGTGGCAAATCCCTACTCCTACACGGACAAAGCGTCTGATTTTGTCCAGGAAGCCAGCACGCTGCAGGCCTCCCTAGCGAAGCAAGACGCCGATGACGTCAGCATCCCTGTGTCCCATATCGATGGTAGGTGCGGCTCCCTCTGCATGGCGCTGGGCCCTGCTGGTGAAGCCACAGTGGGCCTGTAGTGACAGAGGGCAAGAGTCACACCAGGGCCTCAGTACACCTTGGCCCATTCTTTGGCGTCAAGGAGCAGCCTGCCATGAAAGTAAAAAACTTGTTCCAGCTCACACAATAACTGTACAGCCAAAGCGGGATTCGAACCAGGCACTCTGGCTCTCATCTGTGCAGTTTTGCCCCTTGGACTTTGGCTTGTCTGCCTGAAGGTCCAACTTAATGGTTATTGGGCTTCTCACGTGACTTGAAAGTTGTAGCTCTTACCGGCCCCACCAAGCACACTGCGTTTTGTCAGAGACGGATCTTAGCGCCTCCACGGGCACAGCGTGCCCCCTGTGTTAGAGATCAGACTGCATCCTTCTTTCCCCTAAGCAGTGTTGAGATCTTGGTTTTTTGCTTTGTTTTATTTCTCTGTTGCTGACTTGCTCCTCCCAGCCTGAGGGCTCTCTGCATGGGGCCTTCTGATGGGTTTGTGTCAGCTTGGGTCTCTGCTGGTCTCTCTCAGATGTTCTCGATATGGTGGACGTCCTGGTGGAGGGCAGCGAAGGCCTGGATGAAGAAATAGGGTTCTTGTTAAACGAAGACATGGTGCTGCTCACCTTCCCCTTCAGTGCAGTGGTCCCGGCAGCCCTGGAGGCCAGGAACAAGCTGCTGCTTGGGACGGAGAAGGAAGCAGGTACCTGTTCGCAGCCGCGATGCTCTGACTGCCTAAGGCCCCGGGCTTGTGGGTCGCGGAGCAAGGGCGGGGTGTACCCGTGGCTGCATGGCTAGCAGCCACGACGCAACATTTCCCCTGGTGTTGTCATTCCACACCAGGAATGCTAAAAGTGAGTCCCTTGCAAGGACTTGCTGGGCCCAGCAGGTACTCACAGATCATAGCAGTATAGGGAGGGGAGCTCAGACTTGGGAGCGGTGGTAGGTAAACCCCAGCATGGCAGTAGTTTGAAAAGAAAAATTCTTTTCCATGACCTTGTCAGTGTCTAGAGCAGGCCAGGATGCTCTGCTGGGAGCAGACAGGGACCAGGGACCCGCTATCGCTCTGCCACCTCCACGTGTGGCTGTAGGATCCCTGGCGAAGGGGAGGAGACAGTGGAGCAGCAAGCAGGGCCCATCACGGCCTGCAAGGGACTGAAACAGGCACGTGGTCACCCCTCCCGACGACAGCACCGTGTGCTGAGGCGTTGGAAATGGCTGGGCGAGTGCTTAGGGAGTGCCTTTGGCCTCTGGAGCGGCTATCCAGGGGAGGATGCCAGGCTCTGAGGTCTAATGTGCTGTGTTCACTAGGCCCGAGGCTAACAGTCCAAGCAGCCGTGCCTGCCTCTTGCTGGTTGTGCCACGTGCCCGGTGTGGGTGTGGAAGTGGCTGCGGGAGGGGGAGGTGGTGCTGGTTCTGGAGGGCAGTCCCGGCAGGCCTTGTGCTCACACCTCACTCTCTTGCAGGGGAAGACATCGTCGCATACTTGACTGCAGTGCTCACCGACCTCCTGCACTCACAGCGGGACCCACTGGCCCTGTGCCTCCTGCTCCAGGCGTATGACAAGTGTGAGCCCCAGGGCCCCCCATGCTGCCCTCAGCTCGCCCGCTTTCATGGATACTACAGCCTGTGGATCCCCGAGCAAGCCCGGGAGGCCTGGGTAAGCCGGGACGGTCTGAGTGCGGCGGGAAGCTGCTCTCCCTGTCGTGTCCCTCTCACAGAGGGGAAGTGATGCAGCCAAGAGAGCTCTCCTGTTTCCATGATAATGAGAGCCACCAGTCATGGTTCCAGTGCAATGTCTCTGCTGGGTTTTCCTTACTACAGGACCTGTCCTGTGGCTCTTGGCTTGCTCACAAAGCCCCAGGCAGGCGCCATTGTGTTAAAACTCACTGGGAAGGTAAAAGAAAAGTTTTCTTCCAGTGCATTTCACTTTGGGGGGGTGTGTGTGCGTGTGTGTGTGAGTGCTTCCACTGCTGGCTGCACATTCAGAAGCAGATAGCTTGGAGTCTCTGTGATACGGACGGGATTCCTGTGTGTTTGCTGGGGCGTGCCAGGTCCCATACTCGCTGTCTTAAGTGTCAACTGTGCACGTTGGCAAGCCAAGCACAAAGTGATGGCAGAGCCAGGACTAAAGCGGGCAGCCTGGCAGAGTCCCCACCCATCACAGCTGCCGCCAGCACCCTTCATATGCAGGTGCAGGTTGTAGCCATGAAGTGTCCTGCCCTGTTTCAAGCTGTGACAAATTCAGTGCTGCTTGCTACAGGTGACCCAGGTGTCAGCGTGTGCCCTGCCTCCAGGGCACCAGGTCTGCACCTTCACCGCCTCTGCCTCTGGGGTGCGTCTGAGAGAAGCACAGTCTGAGAACCCCTGAGTTTCAGGGCGCTGGTCTGCCACACACAATTGTCTGTTCCCTCAGCCTCTGCAGGTGTCTGTCGGCCCTGTGCCCCACGCTGCCCCCTCGGCCTCCAGCTTCCCCGCCCTGCTGCAGGCAGCCTACGAGAGCCAGACGCTGCATGATGAGCACGTGCAGGTGCAGCTGCAGGCTGCCCTCCCACACCTCCCACTGCGCCAGATCCCGCGCTCAGCCAAGCAGGTGCTGCTCTACCTGCGGAGCACCGTGGATAACTTCGGCCAGGTCAGCCCAGGGCACCTACGCTCCTCTCGGGCAGTGTGGTCTTCCCGGGGTCAGGGCCCCACCCAGAGACATGCTGGTCTGCAAGAGTCAAGTCAAAGTAAATTGTTTTCATTGGGGCTTAGGGTGACAGGTCTGAGGACCCTGGGTGCCTGGCATGCATGTGAAGGAGTTGTCCTTTCCTCTGTCCCAAGTTTCCACTCCTTTTCCTTGTTTGTTTATCTGAGAGTCGGAAGGACCAACAGAGCTCCCATCTGCTGGGTCCCTGCTCGGATGCCTGCTTCAGATGGGGCAGAAAGCCAAGAGCACAGTCCAGTTTCCGGGTGGGGTTGGCAAGCAGCCCTCTAGGGCTCGGCATTGCAGCCAGGCATTGCCAGGTAGAATGCAGGGGTTGTAGCTGCCAGAGCCAAGTGCCTACCTCAAATGTCCTTTACTACTCTGGGGACATGTGCTTGTCAGTCGCTGTTCTGGTGGCCGTCATCCCCGCCCCATCTGAGGCTTGCATACATCTCATCCCCACAGCTGGGCAGAAGCACGGGGCCTGCCCTGCTCCTGCTCTGCCTGGACCTTCTCAGGCGCCTAGTGCTGCACTGTGAGCAGCTCGACACCCAGAACCGGCTCAAGTACAAGGCCGCCCAGGCCGAGACCGACCTGTTTTTGGACATGGAGTCCATGGCCTCGCTGGAATTGGCCAATGACCAGGTACTGCTGCCCTCTGTCCCTGGGTCCCCAGTTAGCCTTTGCCCGAAAAGTCACAGATGCGGCCTCTCCCTCCACTTCTGGTTGAATGCACATGCGTATGTGGTAGAAACGTAGGGAAATGCACAAAAGCACAGCAGAGCCACTACAAACTGCCCCTTTGCCTCCTGCCAAGAGAGGGGTCTGGTCTTGGCAGGCACCGCAGGCAGCTGCCTCGATGTCCACCTATGATTCTAAGCAATCTGGCCGGCAGGGTTTTCATCCTGAGTCCTGATGGCGGAGAGCAGGTGCACACGGGGAATGCCTGCTCCCAGCGGCAAAGTCGGCCCCTCACTGCTGGTGTCAGGTCAGGCAGTACTGTGTCGCTGGGGCTGGCCTCATGGCTCCTCTCACAGTCTGCCACGTGAGCAATGTTGCTGCGGCTATAAGGCAACAACATTCTCCACTGCCCCGCCCCATGGAGCTGCATGCCACAGCCCTCTTGCTTTGGCCTTCAACTTGACTTTTTGGGAGACCTTTGTGTGGGTGCTGGGCATGGGCTATGCACCTGTGGCACATGAGGGGCTTCTCTGCCACTGGCTGGCTAGAAGGGGCGAGGGCTCCTCTTGCCTGGTGAATAAGAAAGCAAGGTCCCTCCCAACCTGCTTCAGGTGGAAGTTGGGCAAGGCTGGGTGGGGCAGTGGGCTCCGAGCTCTCTCCCGTCCCAGCCAGGATGCCGAGCTGCCTTAGCTCAGCTGCTGGGACACTTGGACCCTGCCTCCTCCTGAAGGTAGAAATAGGCTCACCACTTTTAGTTTGGGGCTGGGATGCATGGTCACCCCTCCCCAGCTACTGGGAGATGACACCCAAGCTCCTCTCCCAGATTTCCCCAGGGGAGCAAGGCAGCCAGGGAGAAGGCGGTGGGGGACAGGTGTCCATTGCGTTCATATCTGTGTGTGGCCTGTCCTCCGCCGAGTGGTCGTGAGAGCCAAGTGGCGTGCAGTTAATCCACGCAGGCTGGGTGCAACAGACAGCTGCTCATGCTCTAGGGGGCGCTCCCCAACTCCCAGGTGCCCACAACCGTGCAGGAGAGGCCATGTGTGGTTGTAAGTTGGTGTAGCTATGACCAGGCAGCCATTGGGGCATGGTGGGGCGTGAGGGTAGGCTGGGCACAGAAGATTGCTTCCCATTCTCACAATAACAAAGGCCCGCACTCCCCCCGAAGTCCCTGCCCTGAGTGCTGCCCCAGAAGGTGCCTTGTCACTGTCTTACAGACCCTGGAGGAAGTGCTGCTGGCCATCCTCAGGCACCCGACGCTGGAGGGCTGGTTTCTGGCCCTGGAGCGGCAGGCCCTGCCCCCGCACACACTCAGCCCCATCCTCGTGAAGCTCTTGGCAGCCCACCTCAGCTCAGGGATCCTTCAGCTGCTGGCAGCCTGTGCCCCAGTCCTCCAGAACCTGGGGCAGCTAGGCCTCCTCGCCAAGTACTCCGAGGCCGTCACTCAGAGCGTGCTGAAAGAGCTGCAAGACAAGAAAAATCGCTCAGCTCCATCGCCCCCGCCCAAGACCCGGCCTCAGCTGCAGGCCCTGCAAGAGCTGCACCCCTACATGGAAGGCGCCCAGCTCCGTGAGATCACACTGGCCTTGCTGGGCCTACCCGAAGCCCACCTGCTGGCCCAGAGGCCCACCAAGGCTGCTGGGAAGGAGAGGCACCTGAGCATGCTGGGCAAGACCCTGGTACAGCTACTGACCCACAGCCCCCGGGAGCGGCTGCGGGACAGCGAGCTCCTCTCCTCCTCTGAGTCCCTGAGGGGTCTGGCAGCGCTGCTCCCCACACTGGCTGTGGATGAGCTAGACACAGTATTCCTCCACGCACTGCAGAGAGACCCCGAGCTGGCCCCAGTGGCTGGGACGGAGCTGCTACACTATTGCCTGACCCGGCGGACACCGGCTGCCCTGGCCATCGCTGCGCTGCTCCTGAGACAGAGCTGCACCCATCTGCTGGGGTTCGAGCTGTGGTGCCGGCAGGCCAGTGCAGAACTTGGCTCACAAGAATCCCTGGACAACTTCCTGCCCCTTGTCCATGAGTACCTGCAGTGCCACAAGCAAGGGCCCTTCACACGCCCAGCAGGAGGTACGGGGAAAGAGGCTGGAGGCCCCCAAAACTTCTGAATTGGAGGGGCTGAGGTAGCAATGTTGTTCACTTCTAACAACCCTAACAACTGTACATTCTGATTGTTGAGAAAGACCGAGAGAGTCACAGCTCCTTGCCCTCCCTAGATTCTGAGCTACCCCATAGAGGCTTTGGTGGGGCTGGCAGTGATGGGGGTCAGAGGCTTGGGGGTGCTGCCCCGTGATGGGGGTCATAATCTTAGGGGAGGGCTGGGTAGTGATGGGGGTCAGAGGCTTGGGGGAGGGCTGCGTGGTGATGGAGTCAGGCTTGGGGGAGGGCTGCGTGGTGATGGGGGTCAGAGGCTTAGGGGAGGGCTGCATGGTGATGGGCCTGAGTCATGTGAGGCTGCAGGTGTGCTTTGGGGTGAATGAGGGGGTCGCCCAGTGAACTAGTCAAAACCAGAAATCTCAGATGTCCCATGGGTCACCCACATAGTTGGCAGGTACTTTAATAGTTGGACATTATCTGATGCCATCTAGAGTGCACATTCATAAGAAGCTGAGTGAGAAGGGAGGTGTGGAGCCCAAATGGGGGAACTTGCCCACCTCTCCTTAGGTGCCGTGTTGCTCGCCTGAGTGTTTCTCCCTCACAGCTCTCAGCGTTTTGCACGCCTCCTCCCTGGGTGACGTGTTCCACACAGGATAGCTCTGTCTTCCGTCTGCTATGGCACACCTGTCCTCAGGTTCTCTTCTTGCTCCCGTGCGTGTTCAGAGCTTTGATACACCCACTGCTGGCACAGCCTGTACTCCATGCTATACCCCGGACCCACTGGATGAGGAGTGTCCGTGGGCCTGGACGGGAGGGAGTGCCCAGCAGCTGCTGAGTGCCACAGCTGACCCTTGGGCGTGCTGATATGGAACAAGGGCCAATTTCCGTGGGTTTTGTGCCAAGTTCTAGCTATGAGTGTGGACATGCCAGGGTCACAGCATAGATGGATGCGCGCCTGGGAGCTGGTGTGTGCTGCCCACCAGCCTCACCTGCCTGTGGTGACTTCTCCCTGTATCTCTGCCCTAGTGTCCTCCACTGCACTTCCTGTCCTGAGGAAGGCCCTGTGGAGACGGCTGCAGGACAGGCTTCTCGCTGCTGACGACTGCGCAGCCTCAGGCATGCACCCGGAGATCCTGGCCCTGCTGGTACCGTTTGCAAGAGCCAAGGAGCTGCACGTGCTCATGGGCCATCTGCCGGCTGTGCTGCAGGCTCCAGGCACTCAGAAGGGGTAGGAAGGCTCCGGGCACTGGACGGGTGGCTGGCTCTCCCACCGAGCTTTGCCGTTCTCTCTGGGAGTGAGAGACATGGCTGCATTGCTGTTGTGCTGGCCGGTGGGCAGGAGGGCTGTTGCAATGAGAAGTCTTCCTTCTGGTCTTCTGGGCGCATTCAGCTGCGGGTGGCAGGCAGAGAGAGCAGAGGGGCTCAGAGGCGGGTGATCACAGGGAGTGCCATTGGCATTTGCCCTCAGCAGAAAGGGCCCCATTACATTGATGGCCAGTAGTGCTGTGGCCGAGACACACTGGACTTGACAAGCCTAGCCGGTGAGCCGTTTCCTGGAGGTGTCAGATGTGGGCCTCAGGGCCCCGGGGAACCCTTGTTAGGGGGTCTGTGGGGAGTTGGGCTCAGGGTGCCTGTGCTGCTTGTGCTGCTGTGTCTCACCCAGCCATGCTGTCCTGTCTCCCACTGCAGCTGGGTTGTGGCAGACGCCATCTCGGCAGTGTTGGAGGGGTCAGTGGAGGAGCTGCAGGCCTGGAGAAAGACCCTACTGGAATGCTGCATCAGGTGGCTGGTCGCAGCTTTCAGCGGGGGCCAGCAGGCCACAGAGAAGCCTCGGGAGGCGGAGCAGCAGATGCTAGGGAGGCTGAGTGAGCTGCTGGTAGGTGACGCGCGTGGACACCCGGAGTCACTTCCCATGAGAGAATGGGTGCATGGGACAGGAAAAGGGCTGTGCCCAGGGCTGGGGCAGCACCCCAAATGCCTTCTTCCCACAGGAATGGACATTAGATTTTGCCATGTGCTTTTTGCACATCCACTAAGATACTTTGGAAGATGTTGTGTTTTGATTAGCCCATCGACAAGATGAACTGCAGTCATTGATTTCTGATTATTAAGATACCCTTGGTGTTCCTGGGACAAGCTTGCTTGATTCCAATGAATTGTGCATTTTAATACGGATAATGCTGAATTTGATTTAGCCGGAATTTGTGCGTGAGGAATATTTGGACACAAGATGGAAAGAGTTCCACTTGGTATAAAATCCTAGTTGATGGGGTGTGTGTGTGACATCCACTTCCGTCCTCTGCTCTCCAGAGCATTTTGACTTACTGGTTTTTGTCAGTGTAAAGCCGGCGGACCTAGTCACTGTAAATGGAGGCTGTGCAGAAAGCCTGCTGGGGCTCCTGCACGGCCCGTCTCTCCATGCCCAGTCGTCTCTACGTGAAGTCCTGAGAGGAGCTGCTGGGACAGAGAGAACCCATCTTTCAAACCACGAGGAGAGGGAGGTGCACTCGGGCGAGGAGACACTGCTGGCCTGCCCTTCTTCAGGCATTAGTGGCAGTGTGGCCCCCAGGACACAGCCAGCCTGCTGGGGGCAGTGGCCTGAGTGCCCACCGTGGCTAGCCAGGCCTTCTGGTGCCAGCGTAGCTCCCCCGTCACACAGATCTTCTCATGCCGTGCGTGGTTTTCACAATGGACCACAATGGGGAAAGGAACAGGGGTGCTCAGAAACTTCCTATTGCCCATCTGCCTAGAAAATATCCCAAAAATCTGCTAGCAGAAATAACTAAAAAAATAAGAGTGCTAAGAGTATGTTTTACTGTACAGGTGCCTTCCTGATGTTGGTGTTGCTGGATTTTCTTCATAAGGGTTTTTAAAATTCCCTGAGATGATTCCACACCCATTTCTTGCTTATTTTATCCGCAGCATGCACTTAATGAAGTTGATCCTGGTGACTGGCAGAAGTTTGTAAAGACAGGACTCAAGTAAGTGGATTTTATTTGCTTGGTGCCGAAGGGATGAAATGTCGTCCTCTGGTCTTTGTAGTTTTTGTTCTGTATTTTTAATATTGTTTACATTGCTGAGGGATGCCTCAGATTAGGCGGGGGAGGGTGGAGGCATGGGGATGAGTGAGACAAATGTTTCAGTTCTTTTGTTTTTATTCTCCCAAGTCTGCTGTCAGGGAGGGAGGAGGCCAAACTGCATCAGCACGCAGGGATGGGGGACGGTCATTTGATGACACCTTAAGACCTTGATGTGGGGCAGAGTGCTCCAAAGGTGTTACCTGAGTGGTTTCTGTGATTCAGAGACTTCATGTAGGAAACCCAGAAGAAGCTCCTGACTCCTGGCTCCTGGCTTTGGAGCCCAGCCCCAGCCATCGTGGCCTTTTGGGGCTTGGGGACTAAACCAAAAGTCCAGGGGGAAGAAATGCATATTATGAGGAACCTGTAAGACTCCTCGTATTTGTCCTAATTCATTGTCACTTACCCCTGCACCCAAAGTCTCGTCTCCTGAAGCTGTGCCCTTGAGCGCGTAGGTTTTAGTTATCCTTGACGCGTCACTGTGTGTTCTAATGATAGAGTTGCTTGGTGTGTGTTGAACGTTTCATGTGGTGTCTCACACCTTGAGTGTCCTTTTTCTCAGATGCTTCTGATTCATCTAGATCGGTGCTTGTTCATCCAGGTCATTCCTTGTGACCACCGTAGAATATTCTGCCTTCCACCAGGTGGAATATTCCACATTTTGCCAGAAATTCTTTGAGTCAACCCTCCATTGACAGAGATCTGGCACATTTGCCCCACATTCCTTCTTGCTGCATGGTCCAGCAGTGACTGTCACACATCTTTTTTTTTTTTTTTAAGATTTATTTATTTTTATTGCAAAGTCAGATATATATAGAGAGAGGAGGAGAGACAGAGTGGAAGATCTTCCGTGCAATGATTTACTCCCCAAGTGACTGCCATGGGCCAGGAGCCAGGAGCTCTTCCAGGTCTCCCACACGGGTGCAGTGTCCCAAGGCCTTGGACCATCCTCAACTGCTTTCCCAGGCCACAAGCAGAGAGTTGGATGGGAAGCGGGGCTGCTGGGATTAGAATGTGGGATCCCAGCACATTCAGGGCAAGGACTTTAGCCATTAGGCCACTGCGCCATAGGCATCAGTGCCTCCAGCCCTTGGTGGTGTTGAGCCCTTGAATGTAGGCATGTGTGAATACCCTTTCCCTCACGTCATCACTGACCCTTGATCCGTTTTACGGCAGTTGCAGAGTTGTGGAAAAGCATTTTGTTGTCCCCATAATTAAAAAGAAATTGCACTTTGCGTGAAAGGCAGAGAGACCGAGAGAGTTTCTGTCCATTGATTTACTCTCGTCAGCACATATAACAACAGCGGGAGCTAGAATGGGCTGTGGATAGGCTCTTGGAGCTGAGTGTGGGTCTTCCAAATGGACGTGAAGGACGCAGGTATGAAGCCATCACCTGCTGTCTCCGATGGTGTGCACTGGCAAGCAGCTGGAGCGGAAGCAGAACCAGGGTGTGGGCGTTGCAGAAGTCGCCTTGCCTACCGCACCAAACACCCATTCCTGTACCTGTAAGCTTCATTCCCCTGGTTATGAACTTGAAACAGAAAGTCAGATCACACACGGGGGGAGAAAGAAGCAAAGGAGGGTCAGGTTAACGACTGCCGGAGAAGTATTTCTCTAGGCTTTAGAGGCGGGTTTTGTGTGTGGCGTGCTCACTGCACATTAAGTGATCATTGGCATTTCTGGCATGGAGCTGAGAGAACCTCCCGCCTCTGGAGCAGGGGAAGTCCCTCCTTCCCTTAGTGCGTTCTGAAGGGCTTGCACAACTTCCAAGCCTTACGTAGTGAGAGCAGGGAGGAGGGCAGCGGTCCTGGCAGGGTGGGCTTGGCAGCCCCAAGGGCAGGATCTGCTTAGGCTCTGCTCTTCTGCTGGCTCCTGGGGCCTTAGGCAGGCAGGCGTCTGCTTAGCGTCTGCATGCTAAGATGACTGCACTGTGTCGCCCACCCTCGCCCTTTGGAGAGGTGCCCCCACTGAAGGTGGATGGGTTCGCACGTGAGAGTGAGAGTGGCCCTGCCAGTGGTGGAACCTGCAGGGTGAGTGTGCCGCTGTCGGCTAGAAAACAGCCTTGTGCTGTGTCTGCCGGTGCTCTTAACATGAAAGTACTAAGAAACAGGTAGTTTTCTAAATTTTGCTCTGTTTTATTTTGTTTCTGTTTTGATGAGCTCTTTTCGCTCTGTGTTCTGCTAGGTTTCGGTACCAGGACCACACGTTTCTACAGACCCTGAATGCGGCCATCCAGCTCCTGTATTCCTCAGCAAGCCCCATGCATACCCAGCTCACCCAGCTCCCGCTGGTCCACACCATGCTCACCCAGCACTCTCTGTTCTTGCCCACGCTGCTGGAGTCTGAGGAAGAGGAGAGGCCTGATGGCCAAGTGAAAGGTGGCTCTCTTCCCGCTCCTCCCACTTCCGACTCGGGTTCCACTTCCTCCGCCAGCAGACAGCTAGGCACCAAGGTGTCTCTTCAGAGCTTAGGGAACGTTACCAAAACCATGTTAGAGTTTCTTCTTGTTTCTGTCCATTGTAAAGTAGAAAGCAGCTTCCTCTGACTTACAGACAAGGCAAATGCAGCCCTGGGCTCCTCAGGCCCTACTTGGCTTGCAGAAGTTGTATTTGGCATCTTGGTGCCATACTGTGGGCCAGCATTGAAAGCTAGGAAGTTAAGGTATGGAGAATAAAGTGTAGGCAAGTGATAGGAAGTTAAATAGTGGCGCAGATTATTTTTATTGGAGAAACAAAGAGAGCTCCTGCTGGTGCACTCCCCAGGTGTTTGCCTTGAGGAAAACGGAAGTGCAGCTGGAAGTCAGGAATGCAAGCCAGGTGTCCCACGTGGGTGACAGGAGCCCATGAACTTAAGCCATCAGCAGTGCCTCCCAGGGTCTGCATTGGCAGGAACCAGAGACAGGAATCCAGGGCAGGCTGGGAGGCCCTTCCCAAGCCCATATGTGGGCTACATTCCTCCCTAGAGTAAGTGTGTGCTTCGCTACCCACATGGGGGCTGCAGGAGCTGCGAGAAGGTGGTTTGGAGGGTACCCCATTCCGCCACCACACTCTTCCTAGAGAAGAAGTCACATCCCTGAATCCTCAGCAGTTATCCTAGGCTCAGTCCTGCTTCCCTTGCTCTGTGGTTTAGCCTTGGGAGGCCCCCCTGCAGGTGGGACAGTGAGCAGAGCGTGAGGTGCAACCCAGGCAGAGGCCCAGAGAGACAGGTGATGGGAGGGTGGCCCCCAGTGGCGTCCGGCTCAGACCCCGAGCGTCACTGTGGGGCTGTGTGTCTCCTGGCCCGCTCTCTTCCAGAAGCGCTGGTGGACCTGATGCTGACGGTGGTGACGATGTGTCCCTCCGTGTGCGAGAACAGCCACTTCGCCGTGCTTCTCGGGGCCTACAGTGCCACCCTCAGCGTGCTGGGTGAGGCCTGGGGTGAGAGTGGGGAGCTGGGGAGCACTGGGATGGAGGATGAGGGCTCCCCTCTCTAAACTGACCCGTGCTTGACTTGTAGACCAGAAGCTTTTACTTCTGCTGCGGGCGTACGAGCAGAGCAACCTCAGCCTCGTGGACTTCAGGTGCGTGCCGGGGCACCGTCACAGTGGCAGGCATCATGGTGCCCGGCCCAGGACCGTGACCTCCTCTCTGCACAGCAAGTGCTAGCCTTGGGATTGTAGGGAGAGGGTGAGGTGGGCGAAGCTGCCCCCACCACCCAGGAAACGTGACCCCTTGCCTGGGTGTCCCCTGCTGAACATGGACACCTGTCTGTCCAGGAGCTGCCTCGCAGCATCTTATCATACAGGAGTTGCTGGTGACAACAGAGGCTGATTAGACATTAAGTCAACACTGTCCTGTACGTGTGGATCCGTCCGTGGCCCAGATACCCAGAGGTGCTTTGCGCACACGAGGCAGATCAGGGCCCATTGGAGGCAGTTCTTGCCGCACTGAAGCCCCCATTTCTACACCGAGCGCCCTGCCAGGCCAAGAGCAGAGTGAGTTCTGCCTGGGGAAAGACTGGCCGGAGTGCATGGGGAGGGAGCCTAGCGCCAGCTCCCGGGAGGGGAGAGTGGCTGGAGGCCATGACACCCACGAGGCTCTGGGCCATTGAGCACACAAGCTTTTCCTTTTTAAGTCATTGTCACCCACATACTGAGAAGGCTGAACAGGCCCAGACCAGGTAGCCCTGCGGTACACAGTGCTGGGTGCGCTCTGGTAGTTGTCAGTCGGGGGCCGGGTGATGGGGTGTTACACAGAGTATGACAGTCTGCCTGCTAGGAATGTGAGCACAGCAGAGACCCTCTTGCACGGGCCTCCCCGTGTTAACATTACCCACCTTTGTTTCGGGGAGTAGAGAGGAGGCTGTAGTTAGGGGAATTCCCTTTGCAAGTATATACCTTGAGAGCTGCTAGACAGGGTCACGACCACCAGGGGCCATAGTGACAGACTCAGGTGAACCAAGATGTGGCTCCTTATGAGGTCATGGTGCCACTCGTGGTGGGGGCAGGAAAGGATGGGGTGGAGCCCAGGTCATTCCTAAGAGAAAGGAAGTGGCATAATGTTTGGTTGTTGTTCTTAAGGGGGCCAGCGTGGCTTCCGGTCTGGTGCAACCTTTGTCTTCCCACAAGCTACTCCTAGGGGTGTCAGTTTCCCTATAGGACATCCCCCACTCTTTGTGGCCCTAGTAAACCCAGCTCCCATCTGAACACCCAGTGCCCTTCTCCATGTCTTCATTGGCAGGTGTCAGGGTGCCGGTGCCAGTTATGATGAAGAAAGGAGAATCCAGGGCGGCAAAGAGTCTCTATCAATGCATGCTGGTTTCAGGCTCCCACTTGCAGAGATGGGGCAGGGTCTGGCGCCAAGTGCAGCCACCTCCCCACTCCCCCAGTACCCAAGCCGTGTGGGCCAAGGAAGGGACAGGAGTCCTGAGGGCTGGGAGGTGGGAGGGCCAGGATATGAGAGGGAATGGGAAGCAGGTGGCCCATCGGGATCCTAGGATGGACATGTGGCAGGAAGGCCAGGCTGGCTGGGTGTGCAGGACAGGCACCAGACAGCAAGTTTCCGCTCCATCATGAGACCTGCCAGAGTGGAGGTGTGGCCCTCCTCACAGCCAGGTGAGGCCAGCACCCCAGGAGCAGTGGGGAGGAGGAGGGTAGGGAGGAAGCAAGGCCTGTATCATTTCTAGGAGTCATTGCGCCTGGGAGCTGTAGCATGCTGGTCCTGCACACACCTGCTTCTCTCATAGCTGTGTGTGCTCAGGGAAAGGTCAGGATCCGTGGTCCAGCATGCACTGTGGAGCCAGGCTTCCCCAACGTGAACTGTGGCTATGACACTTAACCCTGGATGGGTGACCAGCTCCCCCGCATTGTGCACGAGGGGACAGTCCTTATGCCTGCCTTGCAGGGTTATGAATCAGTTATCATGTTCTAGGAAGTTGACATGCAGTGCCTGGCACCCCCAAATGTCATTATCGCCAGTCCCAGCAACACAGTTGCCTCCATGAGCTCCAGAAGGCTGTGCTGGGGAGTGTGTGACGTCATGGGTGTGAACCGTGCCTTGATACTAGCTAGTGTGCTCACTGCTGTTACCGTTACTCTGTTCCCGGTGGGCCCCTGTGACCACTCCTCTCTGGCCCTAGGGTGTTGCTGTGGGGCCCAGCAGCCGTGGAGCACCATAGGACGTGCCGCAGCCTGGGCAAGTCGCTGTGGCAGCAACCGAGCCCTGGGGACATCCTGCGCCTGCTGGATCGCGACCGTGTCATGCAGACCATCCTGCATTTCCCCCAGCGCCGGAAGCTGCTCCCGCCCGAGGTACCCCGCTGCTGGCGTGCCCTTTCCTCTCGCAGGCGCCGTCTGCACCCTCCACAGAATTTATAGTGTTGTTGTAGTTTTTATGGAGAATTCTTAACCGTGCCAAGGTACAGGACCCCAGCACTTTGCAGCCACATCACTTGGTGTATATCACAAAACTGGCTTGAAGCAGATTCCAGAGATCACATATTACGTGTACAAATTCCACCTTTCACAAAGCCACAATTTTATGATCTGAATATTGGAATTTTGATAGTAACAGGCGACTTAGCAAGTCGAGCACCCCTAACCCAAGGCTGAGCCCCCCCGACCCAGGCTGAGCCCCCCTAACCTGAGGCTGAGCACCCCTAAACCAAGGCTGAGCCCCCCTGACCCAAGGCTGAGCATCCCTGATTCAAGGCTGAGCCCCCCGACCCAAGGCTGAGCCCCCCGACCCAAGGCTGAGCCCCACTGACCCAGGCTGAGCAACCCTAACCCAAGGCTGAGCCCCACTGACCCAGGCTGAGCCCTGCTAACCCAAGGCTGAGTACCCCTGACCCAGGCTGAGCCCCCTGACCCAGGCTGAGCCCCGCTAACCCAAGGCTGAGTACCCCTGACCCAGGCTGAGTACCCTTGACCCAGGCTTAGCCCCCCTGACCCAAGGCTGAGCACCAACAAAACACACCATTTCCCATCTTGGAACATTTCAGAGGTGAGATTTTTGCAGTAAGGGATGCTTAGCCAGTAAAGGCTGTGAGCATTGTAACAACCTCAGATCTGAAACCTGCCAGTCCCTGGCCTTCTGGCTGAGGTCCCGGAGCCTGTGATGGACTTGCGTGTTCTACTTGGTTTGGGTTGTTTCAGGACAAGCAGGAGCCTGTGTTCAAAGATAAGAATGTGGCGGTGGATCTTGGTGGCCTCTATGACCCCTGCTTTCTGCTGCATCTCTTCAGTGAGCTGACCAGGCCTGGTGAGTGCCAGCCTCCCCTGGGAGCCCCGAGGGACAGGGCCTTGCCACGGGGACACCCAGATTGCCACATTCCAACCGGGGCATCTTCGCCTAGCCTCTCAACTTTTCACGCCAGTGACTTTTTTTTTTCCAACAAAGTCACAGTTAATATTTAGAATATAAAGTGTTGTGATTTTTTTAAAAAAATAACATTTGTAATTTTTAGGATCTGTCAGTGTCCCTTTGTCCTGGATACTTTCCCAATCTTAAGGTTTATTTATTTGTGTTTATTTGAAGGTCAGTTAGAGAGGGAGAGATCTTCCATCTGCTAGTTCACACTCCAAATGGCCACATTGACTGGAGCTGAGCTGATCAGGAGGTGGGAGCTTCTTCCAGGTCTGCCATGTGGATACAGGGGCCCAAGGACTTGAGCCACCCTCTGCTGCTTTCCCAAGCAGGGAGCTGGACCAAATGTGGAGCAGTTGGGACACGAAGCACTGGCTTCAGGGTCACTCACCTCTGTTCTTTCCTGGCTCATGGTGTGCTGCAAATAATGAAATCGCCTTGGCTGATGGCTGGCATCCCACATGGGCACCAGTTGGAGCCCTGAGTCCCACTTCTGATCCAGGTCCTTGGGCCTCTACACCTGTGTAAACACCCAGAACAGGCTCCTGGCTTGGGCTTTGACATGGCCCAGCTCTGGCCATTGTGGCCATCTGGGGAGTGAGCCAGTAAATGGAAAATCTCTCTGTGTAACTTTTTCAAACAAATATGAATTTTTAAAAAAGGTAAATTAGAGGCCAGTGCAATGCTTCAACTGGCTAATCCTCTGCCTGCAAGCGCTAGTATCCCATATGGACACAAGTTCATGTCCTGGCTGCTTCACTTCTCATCCAGCTTCCTCTTGTGGTCTGAGAAAGCAGCGAAGGATGGCCCAAGGCCTTAGGACCCTGCGCCCATGTTGGAGACTCCTAGCTCTTGGCTTCTGTGTAGACATTATTACCATTTGGGGAATAAATCAGTTGATGGAAGATCTTTCTGTCTCTCGTCTCTGTAAATCTGCCTCTCCAATAAAAATAAATGAATCTTGGGCCCGGCACAATAGCATAGTGGTTAAAGTCCTCACCTTGTACGCACCAGGATCCCATATGGTCGCTGGCTCATATCCCAGCGGCCCTGCTTCCCATCCAGCTCCCTGCTTGTGGCCTGGGAAAGCAGTCAAGGACGGCCCAAAGCCTTGGGACCATAAACCTGCATGGGAGACCCAGAAGAGATTCCTGGCTCTTGGCTTTGGATTGGCTCAGCTCCAGCCATTGCGACCGCTTGGGCAGTAAACCATCGGACAGAAGGTCTTCCTCTCTGTCTCTCCTCCTCTCTGTATATCCGCCTTTCCAATAAAAATAAAGAAATCTTTATAAATAAATAAATCTTTTTTAAAAATTTGGAAACTGAAAGTATGTCCATTCTTACAACAGTCGGGAAGGGCCAACTGCGGCAGAAGTGCTGGAGAGTTGGAAAGAGACTTACATTCCTTGGGGTGTCCAGCACTGCAGCTTCCAAACTGCCCCCAAATCATGAAGCCCTAAGATGTGGTGTGATGTACATGTGCGTGTTTAATGTTATATCTTTATTTCCTGTAGAATTCGTGGTGGATTGTCGGAAGTTTCTGGATTCCAACGCCCTGGGCCTCACCATCGTGGCCCTCAGCAGCTACGACCCCCAAATGCGAGCCGCAGCTTACAGCGTCTTGGCGGCCTACTACTCGCACCTGGAGGGGGCCCGGTTCCGAGAGCAGTCCCAGGTGAGGGGCAGTGCGCGCAGGCAGGACGGGATACAGGAGCCTCTCAAGGCTTCGTTCTCTGGGGAAGCAGAGAGGGTTGTCCTTGCACAAGCTCCCTTCTTATAGGTAGACAGAATGGATTCATTTCTTGGGTCTTCTTCTAGAAAAAGAGGCTGTTGTCCACGGGGCACTCGGAAACCAGTGCCCCGTGACGTAGCGGAGCAGGAGCAGGTAGAAGTGGCTCAGCCTTCTCTCTGCCGTTGGGTGCAGGCCTGACTCAGGAGGACAGAAACCTTGCCTGCGAAAGCCTGGCGTTTGATGGGTCGCCGGCTGGGGGCTGGAGCAGGTGCATCCTCACGGAGCAGGGCGGTCCCTGTGCTGACAATGCTCATCTTCCTCTGCCTCCTCATCTCCAAGGTGCTTTACCTGATGGATGTGGTCCGGAATGGGATTCGAACCCCCAACATGAGGCTCACTTTCACCCTGGCTCTCTTCATCGCCAAAGCAGCCCTGCAGATTTTGAAACCAGGTACCACAGCTCACTTAATTAGCTTGAGACTGAGCTAAGTCTACATTCGCACAGAGTGGATCACCCTTCTGTGGCGACAGCCATGTCAGAAGCCATTCAGTGCTCATAGGAGTAACAGCAGCCACAGTGGGATCCTGACCCGTGGGGGGCATCCTGTGCTGCAGACAGAGGCAGAAATCAGCAGGAGAACCCTGGCACAGGGCTCAGCCAGGCCCCAGGGCTGGCAGGGAAGGGCTGCCGTGGGTGCCCGTGGGACCTGACCGCCTGCCTCTTCTCAGAGGATCACATGTACTTGAAGATCAGCAAGTTCCTGCTCTCCCACGACTACCTGAACATGGACAAAGTACCAGGCTTCTTCCAGTTCTTCTACAGCTCTGACTTCCAGGTGACACCCTCACAGTCCACAAGTCGGGTCCCTGAGCTCCTGCTGTCACACTGCTGCCGTCCCGTCCATTAAACCTGGGTGTCTGTGTCTGCCGAGACCGTGAGGGCTGTGTTAGAGTGGGAGGGCTGGGAAGAGAAATGGCTCCTGTGCTCGCGTTGGCCTCGCGGAGCGTGCTGGCGAATGTTGGGTTAAACGTTAGCCGACTTTCCCCAGCTCTGTGTTTGAACTGAGGGAGAGTCCTCTATCCTATCCCTGACTTCAAGAAATGGGCCCCAGGCTGCTGTCCAGCGTCCCCAGCCACTGCTGCCCTTGGAGTCGGGCTGCCACGTGGGGTGGGGGGGAGACGCTTTCCTGACAGCAGCGCCCCGTTTTCCTGATCAGCAAAAGAAGGAGCAGGAGTGGGTGCTGGGCCTGCTGCGAGAAGGCATCCGCGACAAGCAGTGCTACGAGCTCTACGCCCGGCGTGGCATCTTCCGCATCGTGCTGGCCTTCTTCAGCAGCCCCCTGTGCGACCAGGCAGCACAGGTGAGCCTGTGGGAGCCGGCCACGTCTGGCTCTTCCTCGGTTCCCGCTGCGAAGCTGAGTCCAGGTGGATATGCCAATCCCAGCCCACATGTGCCTGGTTCCCACAGTGCCAAGAGAAGATGCCAAGAACAGTCGCTGCTCTTGGCTGCACTGCACAGGTCGACCCTGGCATGCACATGATGTCACGACACCTTGTGTCGGCTGTCCTCGGGCGATGTGCTCCTGGCACACACGCGGTGTCACGACACCCTGCATCGTGTCTCGTAGGATGGCATGCCCTTGGCTCATAGGAGCCCTTCGGTTTGTCACCCAGAGGGAGGGGCGGTCAGGATTAGATGCCTTTGGAGCTGGCCCAGGAGCCCAGGGCACAGCACCCTCCAGCACACTCGTCTGTGGTGCTCTCAAGTCCCAGGATTCTACCTAAGGCCCGGAAGCCAGAGTCAGGGGACCCCAGGACCCTGGCAGCCTCACCTGCCGCCGGTCGGACAGTCTGCACAGCTCTGTCCCCCAGTCTGGGGACAGGATTGGGGAGGTGGTTCCAAATGCCACTGGTCATCGCGAGGCAGACGGAAAGCGCCCTTGGCATTCTAGTTTCCAGCTTCTGGTTCTGACATGACCCAAGATGCAGACAGGCTGGAGTCAGGATTAAGAAACAGGTTGGGATAAACTCAGAGGGGCAATTCTGAAGCCATCGGTGAACAGCTGAGGGACAGCCCCCTGCTGTGCCCCCTTTCCAGGTGTGAAACAAGACACATGTGGTTCACAACAGGGCTAGGGATGGGCCGTGCCGGCTCCCAGCTCTGGCCACTGTGCCTGTGGGCCGAGCGGTGTCCGTGGAGCATCCCTGCTGGCCGGCTGGTTGTGGGGACGAGTCAGCGAGGGTGAGGGGGATCCTCCCAGGGTCCAAGGCACTGCTGCGCACACTCTTGTCCCTGGGCTGTCTCTCGTGGGGACGGGGACAGGCTCCTGCCAGCCTAACCGTAACAAGAATCAGCAGAGAAAATGTCCCCAGTAGTTGTCACCTGTAAGCGCAGTACCACCTTGTAGATAAGGCCGTTTCTTTGGTCATTTTTGAGAAGTTAACTCGCATTTGGGGTTTCCAGAATTGGATTCTAGAAATCCTGCAGAGCGCCGCACGGGTCGCCAGGTCGGCCTACGAGATCATCCGGGACTACAGCCTGCTGACGTGGATTGTACACATCCTGGAGAACAGGTAAGGCCCTGCCGCTGCAGCCCTGCCCCTGCCCCTGCAGCCCTGCCCCTGCAGCCCTGCAGCCCTGCAGCCCTGCCCCTGCAGCCCTGGAGTGACAGGCCCAGCTCGCCGTCACGGCTGGTAGCTCCATGGAGGCCACGAGGGACAGTAGGTGACAGCACGCCATCAGGAGACAAGGAGTCAAGTCCATGTCCACTGCAGGGTGTCTCAGAAGACGAGGACTGGGCTGGGTCACAGCAGGCAGGACCTGGAGGTTATCCACTCTGCCGGCCATTTTGTTTCCAGGGGTCGCGCAGGTGTCCTAGATGGACAGCTGGTTCTAAACGGTGCCCACGGGTCTGCAAAGCCTGGACAGCCATCTGGTTAGAGGACAAGAGCCTCATCTTGGTCATTGTTGCTGGCTAGGCAAGCACCCTGCATCTGCTCCAAGGCCTTGCTCAGTGGGGCTGGAGGGAGCTGGGCCGTGGCCCGGCACGCCCCCACACTTGGTCGGCAGGCAGGCCGGTTGTGGTGGCGCTGGAGCGTGGTTACATCTGCCTTGCAGGTTCCTGGAGACCCCATTGCTGTCTCGCATGATCTGCTTGCTCCACACGCTGTGGATGACCAACCTGGGAGACAAAGAAGTGCAGGCCGACGAGCAGCCTGCTGGCCGGCCCGGCCCCCGCGAGCCCCCCAAGATGCTCGCCCTGCATCTGGTCAATGAGTTCCTTTACGTGTTCCTCTCGCTCGCGAAGCACCTGAGGTGAGCCCGCCCTGCTAGACAGAGGCCGCGGCCAACGCCGCCCATTTCCTCCCCTCGCTGACGGGTGCCACGTTGTCACCACAGAGAGGTGGTGTCAGGGGCCCCTGGACTTCACACTGTCCCCAGCCAAGGCCGCGTGGGATCGGGTTGTGTTGTGCTTCCGTGTCTGAACCCAGACGCTGCAAGAAGGTGGTGGTTCACAGGCGTGCATTTGCCATGACCTGCAGCTCAGCCCAGGGCACGCCCAGGCCGGCCTCCTGGCTGCAAGAGCCGTGAGCACGCCCCTGGCCGGGGGTCTTGATTGCTTGGTTCACATCCGGGCCCATGGAATCCTTCCGGCTCATGGTTTTCCCAGAAGAGCCGAGTGCGGGTCATACTGTGTCAGGGAGAAGACCTGGAGCGTGCTCACGGGCAGTGGGGAGGGGGCGCGCGGCTGTCACGGTGGGAGCTTTGGCCTGTTGTCGGACGCTGTTCCGCACTGCTCGGTCCTGCTGGGAGGCACGTGGCTATATTGAACACCAGCGCTGTTTGAGATAACAGCGTTACCTGTGAACTTGGCGTGAGCAGGAAGACCCCCACTTAGCCGTGGGCTACAGAGAGGTTTCCACTGCCCCCAGCCTGCTGCTCAGGCTCTGCCCCCTTGGTGCGCCTCCCTCCTCGGCTGACTGCTCCCCCAGGTCCGGAGGCAGCCCTGACCCAGTGTGGAACACTGCCTCCCCCCAAACAGGCCCACTCTGGCCCCCGCCCAGCTGACCAGCTTCTTTGGGACGCTTGACTCGGTGCTGAGGCACCAGGCCACCGTGGTGGGAGCCTTCAAGGCCATGGACCGCTTTATCGTGAATGAGGCCGTGCTCTCGGCCACGGACGCGCTCGTCCTCCTGCACAAGTGGAGCCTCATCGAAGGAGACGCTGGGCTCCAGGAAGACCTGAGGGTGGCCATCGAGCAGTGCCAAGTCAGGGAGCTCGCCAGTGAGTGTTCCCACTGCTCCCTGTGACCCCGCCCTTCACTGTGCCCACACCCGGGTGTGGGGACACCCAGAGCAGCCAGCCCACTCCTCCTCTGAGCCATGTCTCCAAAGCTGCTGGGACCTAGACGCCAGGCACAAACATCTATGCTCGGCTGGCGAGGCCTGGCTTTGAGTCGGCTGTTTCTGGTTTTCAGAAAGTCGCTTAGCCTGCAAGTCTCAGGACACTCAGTGGTCCGCTGGGGACTGGAGATGGCCAGGAGCCCCTAGGCCCCTCCTGGGGCTGTGGTGCAGGGTCTGCAGGACAAAGACCAGAGGGGCCTGCATCCAAGTGCTGCCAGCGCCACCTGCTGGCGGCTCCCTCACATGAACAGGAGCGGAGGCTATGACACCTGCCAGTGTGGTGCCACTTGCGCCACCTGCTGGCAGAGCCCTCACATGGAAGGGCAGGAGGGTGATGTGCAGGCCGGTCTAGCAAGCGCACTGGCAGCTTCCTCACTCGGAGGGCGGGAGGGTGATGGCGCCTGTTTCATAAGGGTCCCGTGAGGATTGTGTCACCACAGTAGCAAGGAAAGCGGGTAGCGGGTGCAGGAGCTGTTCCTGGGGACTGCGTTCCTATCCCACTCGCCCCACAGGTAGGGTGGTACCTGGTGCCCCCGGGGCTCCCTCGCTCATGGCCTGTTTTCCATACATTGAACAGAAATGCTCAAGGAGAAGGGCAAGCCAGCCGGGCCGGCCCGAGCCAGAGGCCCGCGTGGCCGGAAGCAGCCTCTGGGGGAGGCGGAGGAGACGGCCGACCCCGAGCTGAAGGCGGCCTGCGTGGAGACGTGCCGGGGCCACCTACGCTCCATCCTGACGCACTGGGGGCCCGCAGTCCCCGACCCCGAGAGCGAGGCCCCACACCCCGTCTACGCTGCGGGCATCCTGGTGGTGCGCTGGGTGCTGCGGGCTGCCGTGGGGCGCCCACTCAGCAGGACCGAGGCCGCGGGGCTTGTGGGCTGGCTCCGAAATCGCATCTTGCCACACCGGGCGCTGGTGGCCGGGCTCCTCGGAGATAGCACCGTGAGGAGCCACCTGTTCCTGCTGTACAGCCGGCTGTGCAGCGCCGAGGGCCTGGCCGGCCCCACGCAGGACGTGGCCTGCCTCTTCACCTCCCTCATGCTGCAGCTGGTGGCGGCCAGGGACACGGTGGGCAGCACCTTGCACACGGAAGTCGAGGCGCTGTGTGCTTCCTGTCTGCAGGAGGACCTGGACGAGGCCACCCGAGGTACTGCTGGCTCCCAGAGGAGGAGGGAAGGGTTGGGGCAGGGCCCGGCCAGGCCTGGATTGGGGACTTCGGCTACTCAGAGCTTTGCAGCCCTCTGCCAGAAACCTCCCTTGGTGCCATGTCCAGGTGGCCCGTTTCACTTCTCCGTTGTCCAGCCAGCCTCGAGGATGGCCTTAGCAGAGTCCTGGGGTGGCAGAGGCCTCCCACAGCGGGAGACAGGGACTGCACATGCGTGTGTCTTCTGGCCTCTACCTGCCTGCTCCTGCCCTAAGCATGGCTGCAACCCTGCACACCGCATCAGGCCCAGTTCCCTGCCTCCTGGTACCTCCCGGTAGGAATCAGGGCATGCTCAGACCACAGGCAGCCCCTTCCCAGAGCCTGGGAGCTGCCCAGCACCTGCTGCGTGGCCTTAATGCTCAGCGGGGGCAGCTGTTGGTGAGAGCCCCGCCCACCTACACACACACACACACACACACACACACACACACACACTCTATGTCCCACCAGGGACCCTGCCACACAGCAGAGCGAGTGAGGGCTGACACGTGTGGACATGCATACAGCACAGTTTATGGTGTATAGCAGACATCTAGAGGCTTGAATACACGACTGAGCCAGTGAACAAATGAACAAATAGCACAGCTTTGCTCAGCTATAGGAGAACTGGGGCCAGCAGGAGTGCGGTGGGGGAGAGGAGAGGGAGGGTCACCCGCCGTGGAGCCCTTGCTGCTGGGTCTCCACTCGGCGCTCTGAGCCTGGGAGACACTTGGCTTCTTCGTCAGCCGAGTGTAAAATGAGCCAAGATGACCCCAGCGTTGAGCCAGGGCCGCGTCCACAGGCGGGCCTCGTGGGTGGCCGACCTGCCCTCACCGCCTGCCCCCTTGTCATGCCCCCCGCAGCCTCCGCGGCCTTCCTGGTGTCCCTGTACGTGAAGGACGTCTGGCTGGGAGCCCCGCGGCCTGACACCCTCAGCACCCACGTCCGCTTGGTCTGCGAGGCAGCAGCGTGCGCCCAGGGCGAGGAGGAGGAGGAACCAGTGGTCGCTCTCTGCGCGGGCCTTGCCACCTACACCCAGCACGCCTGAGGGACGCCCCGGTTCCCACACTGCCACAGGCGCCAGGTCCTGCCAGAAAACCAACCAGGGGTTTTGAGGGGAGCCCAGCACATGGACTAGGTTCACTCTCGGCCCTCGGTGGGGGCCCCATACTGGCCCTGCCCGCTGCAGCGGGCTCTGACCTGTAGTGGGCCTCTCCGCTAGGAGCTGTCAATAGGTGTCTGGACCTTTTTGGACAAGCCTGAAGACGGACGCTAAGCCTTCTGGAAGAAGCCATGCCAGCTTTTTGTGCGATTTCTTTTTTGTTTTTTTGTTTTGTTTTAAAGCTCCCGCCACAGTTGCTGAGTATTTTATTAAGGAGAAGGAATTCTGCTTGGTCGTTACCGTCTGTGTGACTGTGACATCGAATAAGCTGCATTTTTCTACAGCTGCACCTCAAGACGGTGGATTGTATCAACCCCCGCCAATAAAAGCCTATTTTTGTAAGACGTTTGCGTTTCACTTGTCACTCCACGGAGACTGCTCGTCCCTCACCCAGGGCTGGGGCTGGCAAAGCTCAACAGGGCGTCCCGCACACCTCACCAGGAAGTGCCTTACCGTCCCTCGGAAGGCCCTCGTGCACACCCCGTGCCCACCGGGATGGGGCTGTCCTCTGTGCGCCCACCCCGAACCCAGAGCCCGAGGGGCACGCCTGCACCTGGCCGTGCCGCCAGAGTGCCCCAGGCTCTGCCGTTTCCGCAGTGGCTTGCCGGCCTGTGGCGCCTCCTGCAGTGGAAAAGCAAGGACCATCACCCTCCTGCCAACACTCCCCTCCGACACCCCTCGGAGGCGGGAATCCCCCCAGTAGACTCAGCTTGGCCTCAAGCATGCTCAAGTCCAGCCAAGGTCACGTGTCCATCGCACCAGCTTTACAATTCCCTCTCATCTTTTTGCACCACTCACTGACATGCCTTTTTCTTGCAGGCACCCCTGACTTGAGTATGCCAAGGGTGCTGTCTGGGAAGGTCTTAGTCACCGGGGTGGGGGAAGAGTGTCTGCCACCTGCAGCCCAGTGAAGACTGAATGGGATCTGCAGCTGTACTGCCAGGCAGTGTGTTCTTCACAAACAACCTCACATTTACACTGGGCGTGGGCGACACTGCTCACGTCAAGTCCCGCGAGTCATATAGATGCTAGAGCGTCTTCTGTGAGGGAACTGAGGACCCCTGCATCCTGGCAGGCCCCATGGCTGCCACAAGACAGTTGCAGTTTTTGAAAAAGACTTATTTATTTTTATTGCAATTTCAAACATACATAGAGAAGGGGAGACAGAGAGGAAGATCTTCCATCCGATGATTCACTCCCCAAGAGACAGCAATGGCCAGAACTAAGCTGATCTGGAGCCAGGAGCCAGGAGCTTCTTTCAGGTCTCCCATGTGGGTGCAGGGTCCCAAGGCTTTGGCCCATCAAGGACCAGGCCACAAGCAGGGAGCTGGATGGGAAGTAGAGCAGCTGGGACACCAACTGGCGCCCATATGGGATGCTGGTGCTTGGAAGTGGATGATTAGCCAGTTGAGCCATCGCCTAACAACTACATTTTAGAGGCTGTAGTCAGAAAAAAGCCCACCTACTTCTCACTGAAGGCTGTGGGATGTGTGGGGGGAGGGAGCTTGGTAAAAGGATTGAGTTTTCCAGGTTTTGTATGATATGCTGCCTTCTTTGCCCAGGCCAGAGCAGTGGCAAGTAGAAGACTGAATCTTCGGCAATCTCAGATCCGGCCCAGCCAGAGGCCCATCCCTGCCAGCTTCCAGGTGATCTGTGCCAGCACTGGAGGCTGCGGTCCTTTCTGAGGCACAGCTGCTGGCTGCCCTCCCACAGGCTCTGCCCCCAAAAGCCGTGAGGACAGATGTGGGATATGACTGCGGTACCCTGGCTGCAGGCAGGTGGGCTGGCCCAGCAGTGTGGAAATTGGTGCCCACTGGGCTCTGCAGGCCTCCCCCACCTCCCAACCACATCGGCACAGCCTGGCCAGGTGAGCCCAGGGGCCACGAAGTGCTAACCTCCCAACCACATCGACACAGCCTGGCCAGGTGAGCCCAGGGGCCACGAAGTGCTAACCTCCCAACCACATCGGCACAGCCTGGCCACATGAGCCCAGGGGCCACAAAGTGTTCCAGAAGAAGTCTGGCATTGTGGTGCGGCAAGTTAAGCCACCACCTCAATGTTGGCATCCCATATCAGAGTGTCCATTTAAGTTGCAGCTGCTTTACTTCATCCACACCGACTCCCTGCCGATGTGTCAGGAAAGCTGCAGAGGATGGTCCAAGTGCTTGGTCCCCTGCACCCACACGGCACACCTGGAAGAGACACCTGGCTCCTAGCTGTTTTGGACGTTTGGGGAATGAACCAGTAGATAGAAGAGCTCCGTCTCCCTGTCTCTACCATTCAAATAAAGCAAATGATTTTTTAAAAAAAATAATAGTTTCAGAAGAAATGGGGAAGTGGCATCATGAGAACTAGCCAACAAGGGTTTTTCATCTTCAGGTATCTACATTTTATTTACCTAGCCTTCCCAAAATGGCCCTGACCCAGTCATTACCCGCTGGAGCTGTCCACTGCTGGAAATGGGCTTTGGGCAGAGGTGTTGTGGGTGCCACTGGCTGGGAGTTCCCCAGCTCCCTAGGCCAAGGTACAGGCTCTGTATTTCCAGGGACGTCTGGCTGAGCCTGCTCCCAACGTCAGCAGGCACTGCAAGGCTCCCAGTGGAGTGCGCACTCCCGGGCGAGTGCCGCAGGGGGGCCGTAACTGTGGTGGTGGTGGTGGTGGTGGTGGTGGTGGTGGTGGTGGTGGTGGTGGTGGTGGTGGTGGTGGTGGTGGCAGCAGAGGGTCCAGTGGCTTCACTACAGTCTCCGCTCAGCTCCAGCTCTGCTCCCTGGCTCCCCCACCCTGCCCTTGGCGAGCCTTCCGCAACCAGGAGGGGAGGTGGAGGCTGAGGCTCCACGGGCATGCGTGGCGGGACTGCGGACTGGTCCTGCGAACAGATGGAGCATAAAAGACGTGTGGCATCAGAGAGGCAGGCTGAGCACTTCCCAGGCCCCACTCCTGTCTGCCCAGAGCCAGCGGGCAAGGCAGCAGGGGAAGTCAGCCCAGCTCACAGAGCCAGGCCTCCTACAGGTCACAGCTCTCTCCCAGAGGGTGCTGGGCAAGCTGACCTTGCATCCAGCCACTTGTTAGAGTCTGGCTCATTTCCTACTCACACACCAGGCTGAGAAATCTACCTCCTCCCCTGGTGGAGTCTCTAGCCTGACAAAATTAGGGGGTAAATGGACTTGGCAGCTCCACTTCCGATCCGCTCTCTTGGAAGCTCCAGGAGATCCAACACCCAGGAAGCCAGCACATGGGCTCAAGTCCTTGGTCCCTGCATCCACTTGGGAGACCTGGATGGAGTTCCAGGCTCCTGGTTTCAGCCCCACGCAGCCCTGACTGTTGTGACCATTTGAGAAATGAACCAACAGGTGTAAGATTTTCTCCCTCCTTGTCACCCTACTTTTCAAATAAATAAAAATAAATGTGAGACCACCAAACAGGCTGCTGACCTGGGCTTAAGGGGAACAGCTGCTGTCCCCTGGGGCCAAGAACTCCCCCCCCCCCGCCCCCCAGAGGAATAACCTTTGCCCTCACACGCTATCCCTGGCACAGGACTTGCTATGAGTCCCCTTGGAGAGGCAGAAGAAAAAAAGATGTTATTAGTGTATTTGCTGCTCTACCACTGTGGCAAAATATCTGAGTTGTAGAAGCTGAAAGAACAGGTTTCTTCATGGCTCAAAAGCTGGTGCCTGCCTCTGCTGTGTGCCCTCTGCCTTGCTCGTCTCTGCTGCCCAGCAGCCTGCACCTGCTCCTGGATTCTGTGCCCCAAGGCTTCCGTTGGTGACGAACACAATGGTCCTCCAGCAACCAGCTTCAAAGCTGAGGATCCGACCGGCCCCAGCTTCTCAACACTCCCAGGGCCATTGGTCCCGCTGCCTTCTGGGCCGGTTGCCCAACCCTGGCCCCATCAGCTGTGGGCAGGGTATAGGATCCCCAGGGCATGATAGCTACCAGGCATCTTACACAGGGAACAACATGGAACCAGCAGGGGCTGGGTTGCTTCGGCGGCTCCTACCTCGTGCCTCCAGTTTATTTTATTATTATTATTACATTTTTGACAACATAGTTAATTAGGGTAGAAAGGTTCAAGGGCTACAGGAAAGTGGGTAAGACTATTATTTCCACATTGTTTCCTTCATGTATCTGAGATAAAGGGGGATTTTAAGGGAGAAGCCCCACCCAGTCTCCCACCCACCCCATTCCTTCCATCAGGGCGGTGGTAAGAGGGAACACACAACTTCCCAGCTTGCGTTCTCTGCCAGCTTTGTGGCCGAAAGCACCACAGCATCAGTGGATGACAGAGCGGCCAGACCTGCCCACCGCATGGGCCCTGTTTTCCAGGGGAGTGACTTGGCATTGGTTCTGGTGGCCCATGGGGTCAATGTCAGCCTTGTTCTTTGTTTTCTTTCTTAACATTGATAGATTTGCTGGGTCATAAAGGTCGCTGTTCCAAGCCAGTCTTCGGACACTCACAGCTGTGCAACCCTAATCTCATTTGAGGGCATTTTGTCATCCTTTCCTCCTCTTGCAAAGAAATCCATCAGCAACCGCACCTCCTCCACTCCGTACCCCACCATCCCCAGGGGCCTCGGCAACCCAGCTAAGCTGCTTCCCTGTCCATAGATGGCTCTGCCCCTTTTTGATATCACTGGCATTTGGGTGGCACTTGGCGGGGGAAGCTTTCTTAGCAAGCAGTGCGTCCTCTGTGGCGCAATCCTGAACCAGAAGACTTGCGGATGCCTGCATGGGAGGGACCTGTTAACGTGCCTCCCGGGCAAAAACACTAGGAAAGTGCGCAGGTTGGAACCGGGACCAGGACACACTCGGTCTATTGCAGAGTGAGCCCTCCGTTGCGTACACCTGGCTCAGTGGAGCCATGTGGTGTGTCATCACCGTCATTTCCCAGAGGGCTAACTGCACCCCACTGCTTTGGGGACTCGGGGGTGGGAGTGGGGAGGTGGCATGAGTGTCAATGCCTGCATCCCGGACCCCTCTTACCTCACGGGCAGGGAGCCTGACCAGGACATGAAGAGCAGGATGAGGAAGAGGAGCACCACGAAGGCAGCCAGGCTCAGCCAAAAGGCGATGACGATGGAATCTGTGGGAGGAAGGGAAGCTGCTCAGGGCGCAGGGTGTGGGTTGGACCCCGCTCTCTGCGGGGTCTGTGATGTCTCTGAGGACAGAGGCAAGGGCTGGCGTCCAGCGATGCAGGCCCCTGGGGTTGGAGATCCTGAAGGCGGTGGAGCTGGTGCCCTGGAGGGCTGGCCCCGCTGCCCGCTCAGGAGAGCGCTACCCTCTGGCTCAGCTCAGGGCAGTGGCAAGAAGGAACACACAATTTCCCAGCCCTTGCTCTCTGCCAA